CTAGTGCATGGGAAGGAAGGCATGAAAGAGAATAGTTACTATAAGCTTCATGCAGGCATGGCTATAAATCTCAGGTAACCCCTTATTCAGGAATTGTCTTATTTGGCAGATGTCTTATAAGACATGACTCAACAAGCTTAGTCTCCTTATTGCACATACAAATGGAGCCATATAAACACAGATTGTCCAGTGCAATACACAAAAATAAAATTTATTTATAGGCCTATGATCCAGAATTTATATTTTATGAGGTTTTTTTCTTCTTGTCTTGCTAAATTTATGGACACCTGCCATTCACCTAATGGCCTTGAAAGACACCTGATTTATTTTAACATAATGGGTTATTTCTAGAAGATCTTGATTCTTTACACCAGGGATGTCAAACTGCCGGCCCACGGGCCAGATGTGTCACACAAGCCATGCCCACCCCAGCTCCAGCAAGGGGAAAAAGGTTGCAATACGTCACATTACGTGATACGGCCAGTTTGACACCCCTGCTTTACACAGTCAATCTGACAATTTATTCAGCAAGAACAAATTTTGTCAGGCTTACATTTTTTTTAGTTAAATAATTTGATCGGATCCTATTGAGGGTACTATGTCCAGTTCTGGGCACCATACCCTAAGAGGAAGTCAAGAAACTGAATTTACAGTTTTAAAAATGGCAGCAAGATACAGAAGACTAGGAATTAAGTTTCATTAAGAGAGAATAAAATAACTAGCATGTTTAGCTTTCAGGGGAAAAAACTGATATTTTTTTCAAACAATGAAAACAGTGTGACACAAAAGAATTGTAAGAAAAATGGATTAAAATTACAAGAAGACAGATTGTAGTTGTATGTTATAAAAATCTTCTCTGTATCGTTCCAATTTTAGTATATGTGCTGCCGAAGCGAGCACTTTATAAAAATCTTCTTAATCATGTAATTCAGCAGCGGAAGCAATTACCAAATAGTAATCGCTATTTGTAGGTTTATTTATAGTAGGTTCACTAAGAGTTTAAGCAGTTGATAGACTATCTTTTGCAGGAAAACCTGGGCAGGAGATTGAACTCAGTGGTCCCTCCAGTGTTAGTAAGAGAACTTTGTTGTCTAATTATGAGATTCAATATTGAACCAAGATTCTTGCTATTATTAATATAAAGACTATATATCTTATTTTTCTTCTACTTTGAAGGATATAATTCATTTTTGCTGAATTTGTCTTACATCAGAAGTTTGGGGTTTGTGTGTGTATGTGTGTATCCTAATTTTCCTAAATCTATAGTGGTTGTTCTAGGAGTTCAACTTATTTTCCCTCCCAATATGTTAGCTGTTGAGGGATTGGAGTTGCCTAATTTTCATGGCCAAGTAAGAGAAAAGAGGAAATTGAACAAACCTTTTTATACGGCTAAATTCAACCATTTACTTGATATTTTCATTAATTTTGTTATATCTAACAATAGGAGAAAATCAATATTTCAAGGTTCTCTTAAGAAATTTTCAGTTTATTCTTAAAAACTATTTCCTGGTATGAACAAGAACCTCAAACTGACATTTTCTCTGGCATTATTCTCCTTGAATAAGGTGGTTTAAAATGCCAAATTTTGAACAAATGTCCTGTAAACCAAGATTTATTCCACCTGTATGTGAATATAAGAGAGGGGAGAATCAGAGGTTGTTGTGATTTGCCTGGAAAACGTGTTCTCTCATGGAATTATGTAATATAAATCTGATAGATACTGACTTATTTAAATCTGTACTATTAAATATAGAATCTTAATAAGCTTAATAAGCTCTTCACAACTTTGCCACAGACCCCAGCTAACAGAGCTTGTTTCATGAATAACAGGAACTCTGTATTTCCAATCTCAGAACTGACAGAGCTGAAACAGAAAGGAAATACATTGTTATAACCACACCTTAAAATTAAAACAGAATATTCAGTTTGATGCACAATCTAGAACAATCCTAATTTGTCTCTGCCCTTGGCAGATGTTCTCCATACCAATCCCCTTTTCAGAAGTATAATATTTTGCAGCCTGAATGTCTTCCAGATGCATGGATATGAACTCCCCAAATTGCTTGCCTGCATGGTTACTGCTAATAATTTTTGGAGCATGCATACACATTTGGAGTATGTTCAGAATGGCAATAGTTGCATCATATTCTAACTGAAGTTTCATAAAGACTCAAGTGGCTTCACATATTATAAAAATGAAGTTATCAATATTTTTGTAACTTTACCAGATATTTATCGGGCACTGGTAACAAAAAAAACAACCAGATTTTCACCATCATTCAGTCAAGAGCTTCCAGAATAACTATTACAGGAAACAGAATAGGCCTTTCTTTGAAACATCCAGCCAATTCTTAATTTCATGTTTCAAATTCCACATCTAAAAAGCATGTAGTACTGAAGGTTCTGGTTTGGATTTTCACAGGATTTTCTGTGACAATTAGGCATATTTTTGAATACTATTAATTCAGATATATTTTTTTTGCAATTTCACTGATGATAAACCAGACTCCATCCAATGGTAAAATCTCAGGACTATCTGTTGATCTCCAGATTTGATGGATTGTCACCAAATGAAAGATGAATATAGCAAAACTAGAGGGCTGAAACGCCTACCCCATAGTGCTGGGATGTGACATCTTTTGCACATTATATTCTTAACCAGCAACTAATAAGAGCACAGAAATGAATATGATTCTGCATTTTTTCTAATTGCACAGTGACAAAAAGAATATAAACCTGAATCAGCAATTTGTTGCAATACCAAATATTTTTAAAATATATTTACAGCTGTTAATTATTTTTAAGAAAACAAGGTATATAATAAGGAAAATAGGCATGGTTTCATTTCAAATGTAAATAATGTTATACATTCAAATTACAAGAAAGTTCAAAGTTTTTTCACAATGTGCAACCTAAATATTTTCACAGTGTACATAGTAATTCACAGAAGTATTTATTACCCTAAATATTCTCATATCATTATGAGAAGATAGGTATGCATTGGCTTGGTGTTGCAGTTCAAATTTTATTCTATATCAATGGATTGATTTGCTTAGTAGATATTATTTCATCCATAGTCATCCTTACTGTAATGCTATCACAAGGAAATTTATAGTTATGACAGAATACGTGATAAAATAGTCTCAAATATTTTAAATATGCCCTACATGAAACACATTCAAAAATTTGTTCATCTAATACTAAAAATACTCAAAATTCACAAAACAGTTTCTTCTATTTATTCTTTACCCAAATATGAGCAAATATCACTTCCACAAAGTTAAAATAGTTTCTATTTCAGATATAAATTTGTTGAATAATATAGTTGTGCTTGTGCAGCAAATTTATAAATACAATGTATTTACATAAATAAAATCAACGTTTTTAACTTCTGAATACCTATCATACAAAATAAAAAGCCATTATTCTAAGGCTCAGAAACTAAAGCCAAGTTCTTATAAATAATTGATAAGTTGGTAAATATTGGACTCTACCACTGAGATAACCAAAACTGAATTCTACAGTATAACATCAGTTTTTTACTTGATGATTCATTACAAAATGCACCTCCTCACAAAGCTAACACTCTAGGCATGCCTCCTTAATATATTAGTTGCCATTATATAGCAGTTTTTTTAAAACTCCTCCATTTAAGACATAAATATCATCAGTTATTGGTTTTCCTTTGGATCTGCACTTAATAAATCAGTGGAACAACACTGGAGGTTTTTAAGAAGAGATTGGACAACCATTTGTCTGCAATGGTATAAGGTTTCCTGCTTGAACAAGGGGTTGGACTAGAAGACCTCTTATATCAACAGCCTATGACATGTTAAAGTATAGGCCAGGGCTCTTATTTATAGAATATTTCTCATCTATAGAAACATGCATATAGATATATACCTTCACACTTACATACACATACACGCATATGTGCACATATGCATGTATGCATATCTTCATATACAAATGCACATATACATTCTCTGGCATGTTGAGTGCTGGATTATTACTAAAGCATTAATCCTAACAGATCTCTTCACATTAGTCAGAATCATTTGTATTACCTATTGAAAACTTGAAATAATTCTTGAAATTATTTTGGAATATTCATAGACTAAGAAATAGCAAAAGGACATTTAATATCTACTCCATGTTTTGAAAACCCTGGAGTATGTCTCTGACAGTGTTTCTGAAAACAGAGGAAGCAATCTGAAAGACACAATTCTTCTTATCTATCTAAAGGCGCAAGCTGTAATTCTTTGAAGAAAGGGTATAATTTACATGTCACAAATGTTAGCAGTGAAAGTGTATGGGTGGTAAGTCACATTGTAAATCAGCTATGACATCTCCAACACCAGCTAACATTTCTTTTTCTCTGAGTAAGATGTACAGTGATAATTTAGGTGTTGAAATCACATTTTGATTCTTTGCATGTCTCTAGCCATAGATTTTCTATTGAAAAATAAATTTAGCAATTTTATTATGGTTAAATTATGGCTGGATCAAGAATTGTAGAGTATGTTTGTAGTCCAATGTGCTTAGCACAGGACATGAAAAAAAATTATGGCATTCTTATATAAATATACAGTTGACAAAAAATTAGCAACTGGAGAAAAATTAAATAATAAATATATAAACAAATAAATAAAGGTGTCTTTTTACTCAACATTTGGTCCAGTGCAGTATTAAGGATTTTGTTTTTGTTTTTTAAAAAAAGATTTTTTTTATTTTTGCACAAAAAGAAATTCAGCACTTTTCACCCTCTTGAAAAAAAAAATCTTAAAGCACCAAATCCATATGCTTTGCAGCCACAGGTTAAGTCCCACATAATTTATATTTCTGTAATTTGCTAAACAATAACATAAAATCATCTATTTCCTACATATTCACATTATTAGCGCACGCACGCACACAAATGGGGGGAGTAATTAGTGCAACAAATTTTGCTCTCCTTGTTCTTCAGTGCAAATACTTTCTCTTCCTGACATCTTTCAGGTTTAGAAGTGTGGAAGATGACTGTATGGATTCACACCTTGCTGGGGCTGGTTACCTAAGGAGCAAAAACATAAAAATGCTATAATGTCATCAAATTAAAATCCCATACATCATGTCAAAATGTATTTCCAGATAAAAAATAGTGGGGAAAAATAAGTTTATATGCTTAAAGTTCAAATGACCATTATCCAGAGACACTTGTGCATGGGGCAATGTATATATTTTGAAGACTAAGGATCATAACATTTTCTTTAATGTTAAATGCTGCCTAATAGGATATATAGATTTTGCATACTTAAGACAAACAACATACACATGCACATACTTAAATTGGTTGGTTTTTTAAAAAAAATAAACATTGTAAGGCTCTTTTTATTTTAGTTTATTTTTTTTAAGAATCTGAATGTTCTGATTCCACTCACCTCATAAAATCTTCATGCCACTCATATACCTTTCCTGTCACTTAAGGCTATAGGAAAATAATGGTTAATAAATAAGACTAAAGGCAAAATATGAAAACCTTTGGCAATGACCAAAGGTTCTATAGAGGACCAAGTGTTGAGTGAATTTGGATTGCAGGAATAAGCTTGTGGTGTGAACTCCCAAGGTGGAAATTGTTTTGAGTGAGTATTGAATGGACTCAATTTCATAATCCCCTCCCTACAGAAACCATAGCCTTGGCTAAGGTGATCTCTGGTTCAACTCATACAGAAGGTATGCTTCTTGTTCGTATTTCAGAATAATGAGGCCTGGTCTGGTCATTTTCTGGTCAACATACGAATGATTAGAATCTTTAATCCCTGAAAGGATGGAAAACTAATTTAGATAGTCCACTCCAGGTATGTCATAGATCAGACAATCCTGGGCTTTAAGAGTCATTGAGAATTTTTCTCCCCAATTGATTTGGTAGGTAGTCTATCATAGAACATGCCCATTCATGCCTCCTTCACCTACTTTGGGAGCTAATAAATGCTTCCTTGAAGATGATTTTGAAAAAAATGGTAAGATATCAGTTTCAAAGAATTCTTGATGAAATGGACCATCTGAATCCTTTCCTTCAGATTCAGATTGAACTTGGGACTGAAGCTGCATTGTCACTCTCATGGTTGATCTTCATTAGAATGGGATTCAATGCCATTAACCATTGAATTCTTCTGTGGATACTGATGATTTCCGAATGGATGAATAGGAAAAGAATAGTTTAATCTTTGGCTTCTCCATGATAAGTGCTGCATGACTCAACATCCTCTAATATATTATTAAACTTCTATATGAAAATATATATATTTGGATGACATCATCTAATGGTATGAGGTGAGGCTATGATTAATATGATGATATCCAGTTATATACATTGACCTGTGGCTAAACAGGAGCTACTATGGAGATCTTTATTTAATGTTTGGAGGCTACGAGCAACTAGATGTGACAAAACCAGCTTGAATAGAATGATTTATTTAAAACATTTATATAGCCAACATTCTTGTACTAAACCCTGGGTGGCTCACAACCCACCCACCCCCACACTTCTGCCAAAAAATAAAATATCTATTTACAATAAGTTCTGTTCATGTATAAACAGCCAGCAATGTTGGTTTTTGATGGGTCTCATTCCCCCTGAAGGAACAGGTATGTAACTTGAGGGTTGACTCATGGGTCCTACTCAAGCACCAGGAAAAGCCTATAGCTTGTGGGAAGGGCTTTGCTCAGCTTTGCCTGATGTATAGTTATGATTTTTCTTGGCACCTTAACATCCTTACCACCTCATGCTTAGACTACTATAATGCTCTTTACTCAGGACTACCTTTGAAACTATTTGGAAACAGCAATGAAACTTAGTTCACAATAAGGCTGCCTATGAATACTGCTACAATGATAGAACAATCACATTACAGGATTGATTGCCTAATAGGTTTTCAAAGACTAAAATACTAGTGTCAGAACATATGTCATCTATATGTCTTGACTCAATGTCTGCCCTGATCAAAATCTGTCCACCCTGTATAAACATTCTGGTACAAGATGTTTGGGATCTCTATTTCACAAGGAGTCAAGGAAATTTGAGCCTGGAAACACATATTTCAAGTGGCCGCTCCAGAATTATGCAATAGCTTGACCCTGAGATAGGTCAGTTCTCAGTCTGTTGGAGTTCTGCAAAGTAGTAAAAATGATCTTATTTAGACAGGCATTTAGAATCTACTGATGTTTTGGATTTGAACTGGAAAGTCTTTGGCTATGGAGATTTTACTGCTGTAAACTGTCTAGAGCCTTGTGACAGTTCAGTATACAGGTCTGTACATAAATATATTAATTGCTTATATTATTTATTAGTTAGTTAGTTAGTTAGTTAGTTAGTTAGTTAGTTAGTTAGTTAGTTAGTTAGTTCGTTAGCTACACAACCTAGAATATATATGAGTAAATCTCCATCCATCTTTTTTTCATAAACACATGAAAAATACTTTGATATACAAGTAGGTTGATCACCAATCCATGGTAAATAAGATGAAATACAAAATTTAAAATCATTCTTACTAAACAGCAGTGTGCATACATGTTGGAGCTTTTAAGATAGAGGCTTTATCACTAATAACATTCCTTTACTCACAAGCAACTATAGCCAGATTTATTATTTAACCATAATGAGTTGGCGGTAACTGTTTTCCAAATATGCAAAAGCCCAGATGGAAAGAAGCAGAAAACAATCTTTATCTAATTCTACATACTTACTTGACAGCTGTTTTTGGAGTTGTCTGACAAGAGCAGCTGTCTGTTGTTGCTGCTGTGTCTGCTGCAAACCTTGCCTTGGGAACTGCAATATTCAACATTAGAAAAAAAAATAGCAAATTACACATAGAGACAGTGTGTACTGTCTTCCTAATCTCAGAAAATATCAGTTGTGAAAGTAATGAGAAAGTGCTTATTTGCTATAGACTTTTTCTATGGCAAATACGTATTCTTCGTCTTCATTAAGGATGTCCTTCAAAAGCTTTAGGTTTTGGACACTTGAATTTTTAGATTTAGAATTATCTAATGTTTTCAGGATAACTAAAATTATTTTAGTAGATATTATAATTTACTTTCTTAATCAGATGATCAATTAAACAGAGTCAAAATTGCCTGTTTTGCTCATTCTCATTCTCCATCATAATAAAATAAATAACACAACTTCTCAATATCTCAGCTACAGAATGTTGCAAAGACAGGGGATGTAGCAGTAGAGGACAAATATTGTGTGCCTCAAATACAGGTAATCCCTGATTTATGACCATAATGGAATTGCCATCACAGTCATAAGATGTGACAGTCATAAAATGTGTTGAACAATACAATTCTATAACCTTTTTTGCATTGGTCATAAAGAAAATAAAGCGGTTGTTAAACAAACCAATGGTTTTTATTAAAACCATTATAATATAATATATAAAGCCAGGATATAAATAAATAAATAAAACCGAAGATAAGTACTAAGTTCTGGCACAACCTTCATAAAATATGATCACATGGCCATGACAGGCTGCAAATGGCTATAAGTTGTAAGTTGCCAAATGCCCAAAGTTCAGTCATGTGACAAGGGGGGTCAATATCCATCAGAACTTCAAATGTTCATATAACTAGCCCCAAAGTAGGTCCATTGTAACTTTGAACGATTGCTAAATGAGTAGATGTACAAGTAAGTCTGTAGGCAAAAACAAAACAAGTAGCCTTTTAAATAACAGTTTAAAAGTTTAACTTTTCTGAGTTAAAGAACAATTTGTTTCAAAAGCGAACTTGCAAGATAAAGTAAAAATGAAGATAAGAATGTTCTTCAGCTTTTTGGTCTTTCATTATTCATGTTACTTCTTATTAGTAAAAAAGTAAAGAAGTATGAGAAAAAAGTGGGATCCCATCAACTATGATTGTTGCTGTTGTTTGGCTATGTCTTAGAACAGGGGTGTCAAACTCGCCACATCATGTGATGTGATGTATCGCGACTTTTCCCCCGTTGCTGGAGCTGGGGTGGGCGCAGTTTCAGCATGACGCATCTGGCCCACGGGCTGGCAGTTTGACAACCCTGTCTTAGAAGGAAAAATTAGTCAAAGGAAAGAATGAGTGGCATATATCATATCATGTAGGGTACAGATTTTTGCTCTCAGTGATTTTTCTAAGAGAAAAAGGAATGTATAGAAAAGAGGAGAGCCAATGGACTTTCAGTATAGGTGCTATTATGGCTGAATACTGTATTAACATTATTTGTAAAAATATGTTCAGTTAAACAAATATTCCAGTGTAATAAATTTCAACAAAATTATTCAACATTTAGCACCTTGACAATTTTAGAGAATGGTTTCTTTCCAATTTTTTTTTTCAAAGAAGCCTCCTGCTCCCATTAATTTTAATTTTTATCTCATTAATGTAAGAAAACATAAAACTCCTAGAACAAAAACAAAGAAACAAGCAAAAATGAAAAAAGTAAAAAAGTATAAAAGGAAGACATTCTGCCAGTTCTTAAGTGCATCATTAAATTGTGACCATATGGAATACAGTTGATTCATTCTTTCAACTCCACTGATAGCAAACTAGTTCATGAACGGGGGAAAAAAGCATGTAGAGGTGCAAGATTATAACACTGCTTTTTCAGCATCAAAGATGTTGAACTCTATGCTCAATAAATCTAATTATTAATACATTATTGCAGTATAAGATAAACTTAATAATAAATAATTAAATGTGCATTCATATCTTTAAGCAATAATGATGTTTGTAATACTATATTAACAAATTTAATATAGTTTGTTAAATATAGTTTGTTACCTTTAGGCGAGATGAGCAGCATATAGTAAATAAATAATAAAGTGTAAAAAATAAATAAGTAATTATTGCTCCAGATCAGACATGCCTCATTAACTGCAGGAGCAAGAAGATGGCAAAGTCAGCTGGGCAAGTAGAATGCAGAGCAGCAGGATCAATCAATCAATCAGAATAGAGCTGAAAGGGACCTTGGAGGTCTTCTAGTCCAACCCCTTGCTCAAGTAGGAGACCATATACAATTTGAAATAAGTGGCTGCCCAATCTCTTCTTTAAAATCTCCAGTGATGAAGCACCCACGTCTGAAGGCAAGCTATTCCACTGGTTAATTGTCCTCACTGTTAGGAAGTTTCTCCTTAATTCCATGTTGCTTTTTTCCTTGATTAGTTTCCATTGTTTCCTGTCTTGCCTTCTGCTGCTTTGGAAAATAAGTTGACCCCCTCTTCTTTGTGGCAGCCCTTCAGATACTGGAACACTGCTATCATGTCTCCCCTAGTCCTTCTTTTCTCTAGACTGGCCATACCCAATTCTTGCAACTGTTCTTCGTATGTTTTTATCTCCAGGCCTTTAATCATCTTAGTTGCTCTTCTTTGCACTGGCAACTGTGGCTTGGAATGGATTGGGGTGGTTGCAGAAAGGTGTGAGGCAGGCTGCAGGGTGGCCAAAGAACAGAACTGGAGGGGAGATAGGAAGGTGGGGCAAGTTGGAAGCAGCCCCTTACTTTATTGAGGGTTGTGACTGAGAGGGACAAAGGTCGGAATGGCTAGGATTGAGGCTGTACTCGTTAACAACTCACAGTTCTTAGGTAACAGTAGCAACCAGAACTGTGGTTGTTAAACAATGCAGTCACATGATATCTCACCTTACAACTTCATCACTAACAATTCTGGATCCAATTGTGATCATAAGTCAACGACCACCTGTATCTTATTTTTCCAACATAATGAGTTGGACAGGTATTATCTACAATAAAGTAGTATTTTTTCATATATTAAAATCATCTCAAGATATGAAGAAGCACACTTCATATTCTTTGAATTTCTTAACCATTAATTTGTTAGAATGGTTATTCTGTATGCTAGAATTCTCACAAATAATCGATATTCACCTTAATAATTTTTAACTGTTTATAAAAAGTACCATAAATTAACAATCATCCAAAACATATACCAATATTGACACCAATTCATATATTTTCAATGCTGCTAATGCATGCAGTATAAACTGTATGTTTTATCTAAACGTATTGCCATTTCACAGTTTGGTGATGTGCATGTATCCTGTGGAATGTTAACCCTGTGCTAAATGGTAAAACATTCGTATTATTGTCTTAATGACTGTATGAATCAGGCCAATATATTACAGATTCTGATATAGATGTTAACTATAAGTCAGAACTGCCCTTATACTCAAGTCTGAAAATAAACAGGAAATCCTAAAACACTCAAGCCAACTCATTTTGGACTTGTCCGCATTCACTAAAGCCAAATGCATTTTAAAGACTAAAATTAAACTCATAAAATCCTGGAAGAAATGCTAAAATGCTATCCAGGCTACCTGATAAATCTTATCACCTAAGAGGAGTTTAGAATAGATTAACCAAAATATGCTCTCAGTATAGAAGACTGTGATAGGGGGAAAAAAAGTTAAACATTTTGAGGTAAGTTTTTGTGCGTACAAGTCAGAAAAATTTGCAATTTTATTTTTCCCCTCCTTTTTTATCTTTGTGATTGATACCCTATTAAATGGTGAAAGCATTTTAATAACCCAAGCTATTCAGCTATATTTTAATATTTTCTTAAATATTAACACCCAATATTTAAATTAGTCATTTAAAAAAAAAACTATGAAAAAGGGTCAAACTAAAACTTATATAACATAAAGTTGATTTTATGTACACACGCACAAACACACACTTCTAGTGATCATGCTTAGCTATAAAAATCTAGAAATGAATTTATAGAATAATCAAAAGGAAGTATTTAAATAATAGAAGAATCAAGATAAATGAAAGTATTATATAGTTTTCTAATTTAAATCAAATGCAATTATGTTACGGAGTCGGAAAAATAACTTGCCCACGGAGCAAGACTCCAATTCAAATGGCCAGAAAGGCACCAATGATCCCTAACAGCTTTCTTTTATGCCTAGTACAGAAAATAAAATTGTAAAAAAAACTCAGAATTCTTGAAAAGTCTCTGTTTCATATTTGAATTATGTACTTTAAAGTTCCCTAAAGTTGCTAGTTATGGAAATTTGAATTTGACTAGGACTGTCTGGCATTTAAATGAGCCTGGCAGAAATAAATATTGCGACTGTTGATATCCATTATTCTAGGATGTGAATGATGAATGTTTTGTGTGAAAGAACATGTGGTATCTCATAACTCAATGTGAAACTCAGAAGCATCTAGAATACTAAGGAACCTGCACAAATGATCTTAAACATTCAATATATTCAGAAGGTGCAACATTTGAACATTCACAATTTGGGTGGCGAGATTAGGATTTGGAAGAGCACCATTGATCAATACTTTCTGCAATTTTTGTTTCAATTGATAGGAATGCATTCAGATTGCCTATTTAATGAGCTTTCCTGATCCACGAGGTAGCACTAGGTATGCTGGCATGGTTGCCTCTGTCTACATAGGTGGTCTCTACTATGCCTCAGTAAGAAGTCCAGAAGTGATTCTCTCCTGTTTTCTGCATAGCACATTTAACTGCTGGTGAGAAAAAAAAAACATTCATCAGTCATTGCCCGTAATATGGACTGTGGCTGGAAAGGAGCCAAGTTTTAATAAATGGTTAGAGTGATATTTGAAAGTAAGTATTGTTCTCGCAATCTTCACACAACCTCATTATTAGCTTTGCACAGAAAAGAAAGGCTCTGATCTGCCACCTTTTCTGACAATATTGGGGCTATCATTTAAACATTCAAGTTTCCATCATACAACTATCTTCTGACTTCATTCCAGTAGACTAAAACTGGAGTTCTAAAGGTTATTTCCTTTGGAAAGTTCAAAAATGCAATTTCTGGCCATTGATGAAATGTGAAGGCAATATATTAATGTGGATATTTTTCTCTTCCTTTAGAAATTGAGCAATTGTTCCCAGATGTGTACTTTGGCAAAATAAGAAGAAAATCATGATTTTTACCGCTAAATTACCCTTTTCTTATACAGAAGCATACATGAAATGCTTCTCAACTGATCCTCTAAATCAAAATAAATAAAATTTGTTAACACAGCATATATATTCATTAGTTTAGATCTCTGTGAGAAATTAAAAGGAAAATGAAACAAAGACATTCTCAATAAATGGATAGAAGAGGTTGGATGTTGCTACACACTCTTTGGCTAAAGAGAATGGATCTTTAAAAAGGTTCCCTAAGTATTTGGAGCATGAATTGCTAGCTTTTATTTCTTTCTATAACTTTAGTGCTTCTTGGAATAGCCAGGTGATCACACATAAGCATCTTACCATTGTGCTATCTGTTTATTCTATAAAGTGCTAACGTTGTAGGAAAGATTATGGCTTTACTCTCAATAATAACAGCATACAGAACATTTGCAAAGTGAAAGGCAAATAGACCTCTCCAAACACAATCTCCTGCATGTCCCCTGAGAACATTTAAATAAATTAATCTAACTCTCTAAAAGAAGTAGTACAAATAAGTATTTTTCACTGGAAGTAGAGAATTATCAAGCAGAGAGCAGCAGTATTATAACACAGTTCATCAGGAGACACGTTTTTAGCAGCTATAAATTTGATTTAACCAGACTAGTAATGAAATTCATTGATACCTAATCCACTAGATGGAGTATTTGTGCAAGTATTAAAAATATATGCACAGTTACAATCATAATGTTTCAGGTTTGAGGAAGAATGTCTACTTCTTAAATTAAGAAGCAGTATCTGGGTAATATTGCAAATCATAATTACCCTATTAGAAAATTTACAGAGCGCATACTGTAGTGTAGCCTATTTTTTACACAAGAGACTGAGAAATAGAAATTCAAAGCCACTCACACTTATTATTGCGAGTGTCTTCTCATATCAATTCCACCTTTCTCCAAGAACATGGACATAAATAGCCGTATTGGGACATGCTATTTTAAACCCTATGACTTCTCAATATTGTGAAAGAACCCCCAAATATGGTTTATTATGAATATTCTTCTTACAAAAGATTGTTGTTGAGGCTGCATTGCTTGAAGGCTAATGATTTGTTGCTGATTCTGTTGCTGCTGAAGCTGAAAGGAAAAAAAGGAAAATGATTGCAATACTGTTTATCTTTTTTTTAAAAAAATGTATAGTCTTTCTTAGAGACAAGATTTAACCTATTGAATTTGTTAACATCTCCATTTTTCTGGTAACAATATGGAAATTGTCTTGGGATGCTTTTGAAACTCCTATTGCAATAGAAAGGCAATAACAATGCCAACCTTTCAGAGGATGAGAAATGATGTAATTCAGGGGTCCACAACCCCCAGGCCGTGGCCTTGAGCCTTTCGGAACGGGGCTGCAGAAGTGGTGAGTGAGTGCAAGCACACGCATTCCCACTCATGCGAGCAGTGGGCAAGCGCGTGCGCACATGCTCCATTTGTGCGAGTAGCGAACATGCGTGCCTATCACTCATACAAATGGAACTGTGCACGCGCATATGTGTACATGCCATGCATGCAGAACCATCCCCTCTCCCCCCTCCGCAGGTCCGCAGAGCTGAAAAGGTTGGGGAGCACTGATGGAGTTGATGAGTAAATAAAGTAGTAGAAGCTAAAGCTGGCATTTGAATATCAGATTTTTTTCTTTTGATAACTAAGTTCTCTTCCTTGTCCCCCACCTTCTTATTCTTTCCTCTTCCTCATTGCCTAATAGAAGGGCAGTTCAGAGTTGCCAGACAGTTGGACTGATCATTTACAGAAGGCTTTTCATATTAGATTGATAGCCAACATGCCCAGGTTACCCCCCAGTTTGAGAGCATATACTGAGTAATATTCTGCTCTAGGAAAAGTTGTTTTTTATGAGTGTATTCACAAAGTGTAATTTTGTATTTTAGAATTCCTTCTAGCTGCCACCTTGGTTGTGCTTAATAAACTTTTCTCCAAATGATCAGATTTAATTCTCCTTTCACCAGTCTTTGTCTAATTGTTCTAATTAAATCATCTATGAATTTCCACAGCCTTAGATTGTTAAACTAGTAGTACTAATAAAGATTCTTCTGGAGCTAGGGGAAGGGAAATGTTTCAAACTTTTATAGATATGCATATAGGAAAAACTATATAGTTCAATGAAGCAGTTCATGAGCTTTGCATACATTGCAGAAGAAAAGATATGGTAGCTTATGGTAGCAAGAAGTCAGGAGTTGGGTAGCACAGTCTCCAACTAACAGATTTTATTAAAAGGAATACACTTTTATGAGTTGTAGACCGCCATTAGATGGCTAGACTAATAAAGGATTTAAACTGAGGTGGGGGAGGAGAAGACAGATTGGTTATGCAGATGCAGGTTATATGTACATAAGTCAGATTACCAAAACCTTATCAATTAATAATTGCAATGTATTAAAACACATTATATTTGTTAGGATCTTTAGAGATTATCTGAAAACTTTGGATACATGTGTATTTAGCAGTGTCCCCCTTTGTGGTTATGTTAAAATCCCATTTTTTCAAAGATGTTTATTTTGAGGTCTGACAGCATAGACTGTCCTGGGAATGGGTTATTAGTGTCCTCAAGCCTACAAGGTAGATCTGATCGAGAAACTGGATCCATAAAAGGGCTATAACTGTAATTTACTGTAGTTTCTACAATTTTCACAAACTGCACTACTGAAAGGCTAAACTTAGTAAGGGATTTAACCATTTACTGTGAACTTAGGCTTCTACAATTTTCTTTTATGAAGAATTGTGAAGATAAGTAATAGAGGATAGAAAGTTTTCTTAGTAAGAGGAGGGATGTTACCATTCTGAATAAGCATTTCAGAGTGCCTTCAAAAGTTCTTGGGTGTGTCTAGTGGTGTGCAGGCACCACACTGGAAGTCAGCATGCCTCAACTCTTGTTATGGATAGCTTGTCTGAGTTGTATTGGCTCACGATAATGCTTGCCCACACACCGCTAGATGCACCCAAGAACTTTTGAAGTATTTCCATTGGGATGTTTTTGATCACCCCCCTATAGCCCAGATTTAGCACCGAGCGACTATTACTAAGGAATTTCAAACCTTGTAAGACATTATGACAAGTGCCTATATTTGAATGGCGATTATGTCAAAAAGTAATGTAATGTTGTAGTATTCTAATGTGTATAATAAAAGTTCGTTATCTGCGAGTTCTGTCATTGATAACCAAATGGAGGTTTATTTCCAAATTGCCCTCATATATTGACATAACAGAGCATTGCCAGCTCAAAATATTGTCCTCTGAACACTGTGATCATCATAATAAAAATCATCATTTCTAACCAACAATATTAAAGACACCGAACCTGAAGGAATCTTTGTTGCCGAATCTGCTGTTGCCTCTGCCTCATCTGTTCCTGGACAGAATAAAGATTTGCCTGGGAAGGTGTGGCTGGTACTGCATCCAGAGGCCCTCCAACCAAATGATTCTGCTGCAAAGACTGGTGAACGGAACTGAGAAGCAGAATTTTTTTTTAAAAAAAATGAAGTTTGCAGGTATGAAAAATAAAATTAAAAAGTAAAATTAGTGAAATAAACCATTTTATTTCAAAAATAATACATTTTACTCTTGGCTGTAGGGTGATTGAAGATATTTGGAAGTTTAAAGATACTGAAGATACATCTGAACGTGCAGCTGTTGACTGATTGTAATTATAGTTTTAACATGGTTGCTAATTATATTGCTTTCCTTATGCACTGCTCAGAGTCTTTCTGATTGTATAAATATTTTAAAAAAATAAGTTCAATGTTCTAGAAGTGCATGAAACAATTTCAGGATAATATCATTAACAAAAAGCAATACATGGATATTAATAAAAGATTGATAAATTAAACAGATGCATATTAAAATTTCATTTCTCAGCTAAAATTTGTAAATAAATATTTTTATTTAAATCATTTTCATCCCATAATAGAATTATGATGGAACTCTTCTGAAACAAATATTTGAAACAAAAAATATACCAAACCAAATCCAGATAATATTAATTATACCAGTGTCCCTTTGAAAGTGAGTTGGCATGCTATGCTAAACCAGAATTCAATTTCTTTGGTTTTAGCTTAGTATGTTATGCAAACTACATTATAATTCATAAACCATGATTTATAAATTGTCATGTTGCATGAATCCAGCCAATTATGAATTCATTATAAAACAAAATAATAATCTATAGTTAAAATAAACCATATATTAGCAAAGGATAGTTCCAACTTAAATATCCCTCTACTTTAAGGATTGTAATGTGATCATTATGAAATAAAGACTGCCTTGAGAAACAAGAAATTAGCATGTTTTCTCCTTTTCTGATCAGTAAGTACTTATACTGATATCAATACACACTGATCAGAAAAGACATGTGAAACTGGAAGGTTTGTGAACCCTACACAGAATAGCAGCTGTGTTGCAGATTAGATTAAGATGGCAAACTAGAAAGAAGAGATGAGGCTTCACTGGGTTTAGATAGATGATTTTGGGGGAAATGAAACTTTCTCAGCCTTACTAAACAGTATAGAGAAAGGGCTGACTTTCATATATACGGTACTAGCTCTCTAAGAAAAGACAGGATATAAATACAACAAATAATAATATATACATATCAGTATCCTTACATTTCTACATGTAGTGCTATCTTCAAGATTAACTAAAAGGGAAATTATCCTTTGGACAGTTTTGCTTCCAACAAAGAAATACCCCGATATACGTCTCTCTAAAATACTCTATAAAAGTCCTGGCTTAAAATAGAGCTATATTGTATGCAGTTCCTATTCATACCAAAAGATTTCTGTAAAAGCAATATATAGTAGACCCCATGATAAAATAGAAAATTATTCCACTGCAGAAGTCTTTTCCACATCGATCTGCAAATTTGTTTTAAAGTATATACACAGGGTCTCTGCAGTTTTTTCACACTATATGTGTTTTACATGCATTTTTTTCATTCAACAATTCTTTACTCTGATATTCATATTAAAGATGGAAATGTGGGGTCCTGATGCTCTCTGAACTTGATTTTCTTGGAATGGTTGCATTAACAAACTAGATAACATCATGTCTGCTAGAAAACCACCAAGCTCAGAGAGCATCAAGGACCCCACAGTTAAACCTGATCTACAAATATTCTCTTCTAAAGATGCAAATATAAATCAGTTTGTCTAAAAATATAGATAGCTGAGAGCTGAATGATATATTAAGCTAAAAATATTAGTCTCAGGTTATATTGAGGTCTCAAGAGATTTGAATCAATTCCAAAATTATGTGAATAAAATTTGAAAGCTTCACACGCATATTTTTGCAGACACAATAGAGAGTTCAGCTACTGCCAGAGAAGCAAGATACATCACCTTGTTAAAATTAATTTGTTAAAATAACATTTATGACTTGTATAGAAAATAATTGGAAAATGGAGATATTTTTTCAAGTACAGCCAATTATAATTTATATTTATTGTGCTATATGTAATAAGGATGTGCAAGTATTAATTAGTAAATTGAACTCTAAGTCAAAGATCTGCAATTTTCGTTTTACAGCTTGCAAAAACATTTAATGTGAATAACAGGAAATTCTGAAGACTATGCTTTAAACAGTATTCCAAGTGAAAGCCTCAGCAATGATACAAGAACTTAGTATTCCATTCAGCAGAAGATAAAAAAAAATGATCTTCTAGACACAAAAAAATGAGCAATAATAATTTAGATGCAAATTTAATTTGCAGCTGAAAAGACATGTGCTTTCTTTTGTAAAATAAACCATTTTTTCCTATTCACTATTAAGCATTAAGACTGCAACATGCTTTTCATGATTCCCTTGAATGATGAAATTTGTGCAGAAACAGGCCCAACATTTGCCATTCACCAGTGGAGCAACTGAACTTTTATCTTGCCTGTCAGTTCCTTTGGTAGGGAAAGAATAGAATTTAGATGCCTCTATTCCAGTGGTCCTCAACCTTTTTAATGCCGCGACCCCCCAACCGGTCGTAAGTCGAGGACTAAACCGGTCGTAAGTTGAGGACTTTCCCTGCCCGGGAGTGCCGCGTATGCTTGGTTCCGCCCCCTGCGCCGGCCGAGGCGTAGCTGGCAAGCGGCAGAGACGGAGCAGGCCGACCACCAGCTGGCCCAGCTCAAGGGAGGTAAGGCACCCGCCGGAAAAGGGGAAAAAAATGGCGGACAGCCTTGCTTGGCGACCCCCGTGAAATAGTCGGTCGACCCCAAATGGGATCGCGACCCATAGGTTGAGAACCGCTGCTCTATTCTATCCATTTAAGGTTAGTCATGTGCTTTACTTGAATTGCCTGTCACAGAAAGATTTACCATAGAGAAGAGTTTGAAGAGTTTTTGCCTTTTGATCCATGATTAAATCTGGGTTCAAATGGTGCTAGAACAAGGAAGACTATTTTCATAAACACAGACATGAAACATCTGTTTTACTGTCTCAGGGTTGCTTTCAAAAAAAGTATGATTTTTTAAAAACAGAGAAATAGAAAAACAGATTTTAAAAAATAGGTATTACAGCTTTAGAAAGATGCTCTGTGGAATTAGACAGAAATATTATACTTCTTTTGAATGACTAAATCAGTTAATAGGATCATTTGATTAGCAAATTTGAGAAGCACTTGGTTTATAATTTCCACAGGTCCATTCAGTACCTCTAAAACACATAAATTAAATAAACAGAAAATACACAATGATATGTTTATTAAATTATACCATATATACTGTATACACATGTGAGGCTACACTGGTAATATTTTATGAGACAAGGGGATTTCCAAATGTATTTAGCATTGGCTTAAATCCATCTAGTCTGAGTAATAAAAAGACTGAGATCTTGGTTGCAGCTACATGTAATTCAAAGCAAAGTGGGGCTTGGGAAATAGTATAGAAATAACTTGCCTGTCCAGAGCTAACTAATTGCTTATATCAGCTTTCCCCAATCTGATCCCCTTCAGATGCTTAAAGTTTCAACTCTAATTTGTTTTATTCTTCAAGCTAAGTCGGAAGCCCAAGTGATTTGGAAGGAATTAGATTGGTTGATGATGCTTTATACCACCTTCCTTTGCATTCAGTGATGTTCTTGAGTCAGAATTTATGAGAAATACACTGTTTTTTATTTTTATTTTTCAGAAAAGTACAAAACATTGGGTTAACAAAGTTCTGGAATTATAGATGTATTTAGCCTCTTACCGCTGATTGCCTGCTAAAGGCTGAAGGTAGGCTGCTGCTTGTTGGTGAATGTACCCGCTTGGCTGCTGTTGCATCTGCCTTAACCTTTCCATTAAAACTGGACTGGAATGAGCTGCTGGAAATGATCTAGGATTGTAGGTAGGTGAAAGAACTAAACCCCCGGTCTGTTGAGGTGGCAATGACATCTGAGTACTATACATTGTATAGCCATGGGGAATTGTCTGTATGGAAAACAATTCAAAACACATGATTTTGACTTTTAGTTTTCTAAAAATCTATCCATTTTACTGGTTTTAAAAATACTGTAACTTGAAATAGAAACCTTGCATCTCATTTTTTTTCCTAGGCTCAATTGAGTGTTCTAGGTATTCATATAGCTCTCATGTCATGTTTCTTTAGTAGAAAGTCTGAATGATGTGGAAGAAATTAAAGGTAGAGAAGTAGGTGCTTCTAGCGCAATTTAGGTGAAAATGGGTAGATTATCTAGGGTTATAGTAATATTTTTTTTCGGTTTTGTAATTATGTCACTCATAGCTTTGGTATAAAAACAATAGTTCCCACAAATAATATCTATTATGATTATTGCTTGTCTACAACAACTGGGAAAGGCTGTTCATTTGTATTTAGCTTAATCTCAAACTAAGGGGAAGTCATGAAAGAGGCTGGCCACTTTAAGGACTCTCAAATTTTTCAAACATGGTAAAATCAAGATGACCATATCCACCATTATATTTCTCTGAACCCCACTAAACCAATTTTTAACAGGGATGCTCTACCTGTGATTGCTGTATCCCTGGATATTGTGTTAGCTGAGAAGAAGAGGGGCGGACTTGTTGAGCATTTTATCGTCGGACAAGTTAACAACCTGGGACATTTTGTCAATTGGTTATCTTTATTTACGACGAACAATATATAATTTTCAAATGGTTAGATTTGTACGGGTAAAACTCGGTCAAATTAGATGATCAATTCCGTGGTCCGATCTTTAGTCCTCTACCACTCAAGATCTGTAGTTTCTGTTGACCCAATGAAACCCAGTGTCATTCTCTCTTAGCTCAACATACCCCACAGCATTGCTGTTGTTGAGAAAACAGAAGAAGGAAGGAGTATTAGGTACAGTATGTTTGTTGCCTTGAGTTATTTCTAAAAATAATAAAGGCAAGATAAAAACAAATGATAACAGCAATAGGCTCAACAGCAATATCACTTCATATATACTGCTTTATAGTGCTTTACAGCCTTCTCTATGCTGCTTACAGAGTCATCCTATTGTCCCCAACAATCTGGGTCCTCATTTTACCAACCTTGGAAGGAGGGAAGGCAAAGTCAAACCTGAGTTGGTCAGGATTGAACTCCTGACAGTGAGCAATGAATTATCACTGTGCCACCACGGTCCAGGTGGCTGATAGTTTGACATACAGTTTATTGCAGGTACAGTAGGCATCTTAAAACACATGTAGTGCACGAGTAAGCTGGTGCGACTAGAATATCTTTTTTAAGTGAGATTGTTTTTATGGGCAGACTAGTGCTACAATATCTCTAAATTCTGTCTCCTTAACTGCTCTCCAGTTTTCCCTGCACAGACCAACCCTACCTTTAATTGAGACAAATGGCAGACAGCAATGGGCAGACTATAGCAGTGAATGTTGAGATATTAAGCATGTGTACACATAATCTATTTGGTATTCTTGAAACTGGATTACCTTCCAGTACTCCAGTCCAGTGAATTTTTGGATGTGGAATGAGAGATACTATTTTGTCTCCTACCTCAGGTAGCACAATATAATGAACCAGTACTTGTCCTGCATATACAGTATTCACTACACTTACTTTGAACCCCATCATTATTTTCTTTACTTCATTGCCCTAAATGAAGAAAAGCTGAAATAAATAATGGCCCATCCATCCCACTTCTAAATATAAAACAACACAGTTTGAAAGGCCTTGCCTGGCTCTGGTGCCTTAGAATCCGCTGTTGTTGAAGCAATTGTTGCTGCTGCTGATGAGAAGTAATAGTGTGAATTGCTGGGGGATGCATCATATTGCTGGAACGTCTATGCAGCATGTTAGAGAGCACTTGTTTTGTGTTGCTTGGCACAAAGGACCCTGTGGGATCCAATCTGGAACCACCTTCAAAGACATTGATTAACAAAATAATTATAGAATCACAAAGCCTGCTCCAGATGATGCTATTGGTTGGGAATCAAGCTGACTACTCCACTTAAATCAGATTATTTATATAGCCATTACATTTTTTAACTGTGAACCAGCAATGGTTTTCTGGAGATACAACATATATTTTAAAAGTAAAGTAAAACATAATAGAAGAACAATGTTGTTGGAAGTAACTAAAATCTAACATTAAATACTATAGTGGTATAGTAGGCATATAATATGCTAGAGTATATATTGTTAACCTTCAGAATCTAAAGTTTTATTGTTTTACATCCTCTAGAATATGTGGGAAAAATTGCCATGTAAGCTATGGGTTTGGGAAACATATTATAGAAATCAAATGTCAACTAAAACTCATCCTACCATATTATCTAAGTCTTCTTCCTAATAAGTTTTCCTATTTGTTACAGAAAGCAAAAACAAGCTATATTTAAGCACTTTTCAACCATTTCATTGGAACGATACATCAACTACAAATAAAGTTCCATTTAATTTAAGCATATTCACCAAGTGTGAGTACTTTCCAAACAAAATAATAATTAAAAAGAATTATTTTCTGTGTCAGATCTCCCTGTTATACCTGGTGGAAGAGGCTGGTTCTGGACAAAGTAACCTGACTGTTGGGGCTGTCCTATAACATTGTAGCCCCACAAAGCAGACTGAGGATGATGCAACATTTGAGGATAAAGTGCTGAAAAATTAGGAGCCATTCTACATCCATTGTTCTGAGGATATTCCTTGAGCAAAATAGGAAACATTAAACATTATTGACATTCAAATACCAATTTATAAATAAGCCATTTTTCCTAGTAAATTATTAGGCAATTTATGACTATTACAATTAGGCTTTATCTCACATACAATTTGGCTGTCTCATAATGCTTAGTTTTCTACTTTTTTTCTGCATAGCATAATCTACTAACTGTACCTATAATTATATCAAAGCATCATTATTTAGAACAATTAGAAACCTATCCTGGGAAGGAAATTACAGGAAGGAATTGGGTAAAGTGTCAATAAATTCAAATTTTAAAAAATGAAGCTTTCTAAATTTTAATAATTTCAGGAAATTATTTCTAGATTTGTTTTAATACCACAGTATTCCTGTGCATTGTCAAGGACTCTTGAGCATGCTCTAAGATGTATGTAATGAGTATGTATCACTGTTCGGGTTTGTTGGGCTTCACTGAAAAAATATATTTTCTTCAAATATATTTCAAAATATGATATTGTATTTTCATAGTATTGAGAAAATTGCCCTTTATTGATAGTTTCACTGAGGGACTTAATATCTTGCAATACAACATAAAAACCAATACCACATTTCTGTCTTCAAGGAGTCACACCGGTTCTTTTCAATTTATTTATTTATAAAATTTTATAACTATCTATACTAGGTATATGTTATTTGGTTTCGAGGAACCCCTGGAGTTAATAAAAATTCTTACATTTCCTCAGGACTCTGGTTTTACAAACTCTTGGTGACCTGTTGCTTAGATAACATTCTACATAACTTAATAAAGTCCTAAAATAGCCATCTCTTATTTTAACCCTTCATTAAGCATTATGCAGCAGGTGTATCTTTACTGAAGCACTTCTGAGTAGATTTTACATGAAGATGGTTCAAGAGGACAGGTAGGACTTCTTAGAAAAGAAAACTGAATTAATGTTCAGTTAATTTCTAGATATTTTCTCATCTCCTTTCAATTTCATTGATAGGGTGGGATTCAACCTGGAACATGTCCTATAACTTTGCCTTGTTTTCCCATAATATGTGAGAATTTGAAAAAAATATTTCAAGTATCATGACAGCCATCTATAGAATTGAACCTGGTGATCTATCCAATGGTTTTACCCCCACCCCATACCAAAAAGCAGTGCTATCTCAAGCTTGAAGAAGGAAGCAATAAGTTCTGCAAAAGTCTTAGAAAGACTTGCAAACTGTTCTGCTAAATCAGCAGAGATGACTAAGTTCTATACTTGTGAGTGCCAAGAGATTAAGCAATAGTCATGAAAGGAATGGCTCTTATGAAAGCTTATGATGGTTCCACAAGCCATTTATAATGAATGCTACACTCACCAGTACTGACAAGCTATCACATGCTTCCCCTATCCAAAGTTGAGTCAAAAAAAGAAAGCTATTATCCAAAAATAAACTATGTGCTTCATTGCATAATATTATCTAAAGATGTGCAACAAAGCCAACTGGATGTAATTAAGCAGGCCAATATCTGGATGACAGACAATTCTGGAGCATAACAGACCATATTTTATTTTCTATGGAGAAGGTATAGTACATTTTTTAACAAACAATAAATATCTTCATAGATGGAGAAGGGAATTTTAAATTCTGCCATTCTGTAAAGCAAAAGTTGGCAATGTAACTTCTATAATGCCCCTAGAATGGGACATATTGGAGGGATTGAGTAGTACAGTTTTGTCGCCTAATCCTTTTGAAGGGCTGCAAGATGTTATCTAGGGATGCAATAACATTACTCGAAAGGGTCAGAATGAAAATCTTATCAGCCCATTTTTAAGAGTGCAGGAAGCCACACATCTCCCTTCCAAATCTCCAAAACACCTTTCCTGACAAGCATGGGAAATCAGGAAATCAGTTCAAATGCATATAAAGGTTTATTGCAAGCTTAAACTCTCTACAAAAACCTATACCCTTATATGTTATTTATATGTAAGGGTGTAGGCTTATACATTATGTTGTATATAGCATGTTTAAATGTGTGTTATGTATCTGTACACTTTGAGAGCAAGCAACTAAATTTCATTTTTAGTGTGCGCCAATGTGCCCATAGAAAAAATGACAATAACAGTCTATCTGTTTATCTATCTACAAGAATCTGAACTATTAACCGTCAAAGCAAATTGCTGATAGATAAAAAAATCCAATGGAATTCAAGATGGCTGGACTTCAATCTCTTGTGGGCATGAAGGGATTCAAGAGGGATGACTCGTTTGACCCCCTCCCTCGGGCTCAGGCGGTCATTTCCCTTCTCATAAAATCGACTAATATAATGAGATACTGTACATTTGTTCATGTATACAGAATTTACGATATTTAATGTAATTGTTTCAACATTTTATGTGACTTCTTTCATATCTAACTCACATGAAATCATCTGATGGTTACCAGCACCTGACAAAATGGCCAATTCGTACACTACATTTTTTTTTAACTTTAACTAGACAATTTAACCACTTACATCAGTTTTAGAAGCTGATTTTGTCTTCCTTTTTCTGCCTTTCCCCTTTCTTTCTTCATCTGCTGAAGGTTTTCCCTGATCTGAAAGCTCTGCTGACTTTCTTTCTGGTTCCTGAGATGCAGGAGTAGTAGGCTCTTCTTCTTCCTCCTCCTCCTCCTCCTCAGGAGGAAGAGGTAAAGGTTCGAGGTAGTAACTTCGTGGCTTAGGTTTAGGGTGGGTGTGGTAAAGCAGAAGTTGCTGCTGCTCCTCGTATTTTATCACTTTCCTATCAATGCGAACAGTTCCAAACCAAGCCCAAGACAATGGAGCTGGATTCTTGTTGCCTTCCAGTAAATCCCATGGAGATATTTTCTGTTTCATTGAGACTTGGAGCCCCTGTTCCAACAAAATGTAAAATGAGTTTTCTTCATCACAATTTCCTTCTAATTTTCAAATACCTACAACAGAGGTTTATAAGCTTATTATTAAAATAGTGATGCATATAATCATCAGGGGGAAACATCGGTAATATAATGTACATCAAGATACAATTAATTGAATGCTATTTTATATATTGGGTTGAAACATGTATAAACATGAGATGAAACAGATGAATTCTACAAAATTATATTCATGAGAAAGTTGATACATCGTGAAGGTTTTAAAGAAAATGCTTATCCTTGCCTGTTTCTTATCTATGGAGTCAAATCCAGCAATTTTGTTTCCCTTTGTGTCAATCAATGATCCCATAGGCTCACAGGCAATAAGGTCACACATCTGCTTGGGCAATGGCAAGAGCTGACGAACTTTGTCAATACTTTCTGAACTTTTATCGCCCAGTTCTTTCTATAAGAGGACAAAAAGGCAAAAAAATGTTTTTTAAAAAAATGTAGCTGCAACCTGGAGCAGTTTCAGATGAATCATTTCCTTGTACTTTTACTAATTTTATTCATGATGTGCAGCACAGTTTTTGAAAAATGCTTCATAAGCTTTTCTTTTCTTTTCCTAGAATAAAAATTAATTGCAATGTCTGTCTGTCTGTCTGTCTGTCATCTATCTATCATCTTAGTCAGAGAGCTATGGACCATCAGATCCTCATTTTAGCATTAAACCAGAACAGGTTATCAGGATTAGGTATTCTGACAAGCATAATCTTTCCAAGGTTTCAAGCACAGGTTTTTCCTATCATTTGCTATCAAAATTTTTTAAAGCAGCAATGTACAGTAAAGGATTGGGCCCTTTTGTTTCTAAAATATGCTTAATGTTATTTCCATATACCAATACTACTTTATAAGCATCTTGATATTTCTCACAGAAATACATGTCATGTCAAATTATTTGCCATATAACTATCTTTTACTCTAAAAAAAATCTCCAGGGTAATTTTTTGCATTACATCCTACTTGATCCCCCTCTTTAATGGGGAAGCCAGCAATTGTCTCTGACAAAATGTTGGAGAAACTCAAACTGAATGTTTTTTCTGTCCATAGAATAAGCTTTTTCACATTGAACACAGCTAAACCATGCAAGAAAGTGGTTTTTTTGAAAGTAAGAAAATGTTATTTTTACAACTTTGATTTAAAACAATTGTTTCTGTTTGCTTGCTCTTAATCAAATTAGTATATTGCTACTGTGTGTTTGTTTGCTAATTTATTATTACAAGTGTACAACAATTTACAGTTGCAAAACACTACAATCTGCTGGATTGCAGCTGAGGCAAGACAATTTAAAATTTGGAAAATGAACTACCTCAAAGTGTAAATGCTCTCCTGGTAAATGTTTTATTCCAGTCTTCCCCAATGTGACAGCTTTCAAAAGTGTGGGCTCACTACTATCTCAGAACTCTCTGTGTATCTCTCTATGGTATCTATATCTCTATCTATATCTATCTATCAGTCTGTCTATCTACCTTTTCTATCTATTTTTATTCCACCTTTATTTTTGGTCAATTCAAAATGCACAGATAGCTGGCTCCTGACTCCTAATTTCCCCACAACAAAAAACTTTTGAATAGGTAAGGATGGTAGGGAATGATAGGCCCAACATCACCCAATCATTTTTTGAGCCCTGGTGAGGACTAGAACTCACAGTCTCCTGGTTTCTAACCCAGCACCTTAGCCACTAAACATTTTACAGAATTCAAGATCAGATGAAAACACACTTTGAGTTTTTTCACCAAATTCATGTATGCTCTCTTGTTCTCTTCAGATCCCATTTGAGATGCCATTGAGAGGTCAGATGCTAAAGTACCATTGATCAACACACTCAACATGTCAAGCACTGTTGTAAATAATTCACTAAAAGGGAAAAGAAAAAAACCAAATTATATTCTGAAGAGCAATACTAATATCTATAGTAAAGCAGAAGCTTAATATTTCTTTCTAGAGTGTCAAATAATCCACTTTTACATCAATTCAAGGATGAGGAAGTAGCCATGTCCTACAGCAAACCAAATTAATGCCAAAATAATTACACATGTGCAATGAAATCATCATACAAATAAGGCATTACGTACTTAGGTTCCAATTTTAAATCATTGCAAGTTGTCCGTTGGCAACTAGACACAAAGATGCCAAACTGATGACATTAATCAGAAAGGGACCCTGGAGGTTTTCTAGTCCAATCCCCTGCTCAAGCAGGGGACCCTATACCATTCCAGATAGGTAATTGTCCAATCTTCTCTTAAAAACCTCCAGTGATGAAGCACCTACAACTTCTGAAGACAAAATGTTCCACTAGTTAATTGTTTTCATGTTAGGAACTTTCTCCTTAATTCCAGGTTGATTCACTACTTGACTGGTTTCCATCCATTACCCTCTGGTGCTTTGGACAATAATTTGACCCCTCTTCTTTGTGGCAGCCCCTCAAATACTGGAATACTGCTATCATATCACCCCTAGTCCTTCTTTTCTCTAGACTGGCCATACCCAATTCCTGCAACTATTCTTCATATGTTTTTGTCTCCAGGCTCTTAACACAAGCCCCACACTTTTAAACTTGACTTGCAATGTCACATGCAGGAATATAAGGACAGAATTTATGTTTTAAAAAAGGAAAGGCATCTGAAACTGTTATTCTCAAAGAGAAAAACCATGTGACACCATAAACCTTATGCAATATTTCAAATAAGATTGTGGAGTAATATGTGTCTTCCACACTCTATTTTATTCTATTTGTAAATGTTGAAGAGCAGTCAAGCCTACATTGTCAATACAAGCATTACCATATTTACCTTGTTCTAATGGAGAAAAACAGTGACCAGCACTAGCCAGCCCTCATTCATATCCTTGGCTGAATCCAAGGTACTAAAGTTACCCTTAATTTAAGAAATGTCATGGTTACAACTTGAAGAATTTTCTTTTAAAATTACTTTAGAAGAAAAATACAATTAGAACCATTATTATTTATTTATTACATTTATATGCTGCCCAGAGTCACTTGATAGTGAGATGAGTGACATATAAATTTAATAAATAAATAAATATTTCCATTTATGCAATGGCAATTTTAGCTTTATAAATAATATTATTAGTCAAAGTACTAGAAGGCATAATAGATAATATGCAGTAGAGTACACATACTTATTGGTTTGCATGTCAACTGTCCCTGATGTTATTATTTGAAGGAGTAGAAGTGCCCAGTCTGTGGTCCATTGAGGACTTCTTTGCACCGTATCAAACATTCCACCCACCTAGAATTGAAACATTGGAAAAAAAAATTAAAGATAAAAAAGGTAAATCAAATGTACTTCACAATCTTTGTTTTCTAACCATTCTTTATGAGTAAACCTGCACTGGAAATGTTTTAGATTGTAATATTGCATTGTGTATGAATTCCTAGCAGCTTAGGTAGGGGCTGAAAATATGAAGGATTACCATTTAATATCTGATAAAGACTTTTTTGTTGTTGTTTGCCTGGACTTTTTGTTATCCCCAGTAAGAAAGCTGTAGGAACTGTTTTCACTTTTTCTGCAAAACATTATTGTTTGATTTCTGTCCAGTTATTTTCTGATGTTTGATTTAGCATACTGTTTTTTTAAGTGTCATCCTTGTTTAATCTTATATTTGTGATGCAAAATTAATATAAGAAATAGGAAAAAATAAACAAATAAATAATGCTAAATTGTAAGACAATGCAGTATTTAGATAGGAGAAGGAACAATAATAAAATTAAGAAACCTTATAAGCCTCTTTCTGCTTCTATGAGAAAAGGCACAAAATTATCCTAAATAATAAATAAATGTTCCCCTTTCTTACCAAATTAAGACGGAGTTGTAATGCTTCATGCATCATTTGTCTTGCTTTAACATCATCTTGGTATCGTTCTTCCCTCCAGTTGCTTAATATCTAGGAAGGAAAATATGATTTGCACTTTCTATGAATGTTTACCTAGTCCTGTATAACATTTTATGTCTTTTTAATATGTTATAGGGCTTCCAGTTGAGCAGTGGGTTGGACTAGAAGACTTCCAAGGTCTCTTCTAATTCTGTTATTTTACTGCACGCTTCTCTTCTTATGTGAGCATTGTTGCATTTCTGCTTGCTTTATTTATTCTGTCTCTTCCCTTTAAACAGAATGTTACACATATGTAAAATTATAGTATCATTTCTATAATGTTTATTTTGAAATTCTTCAAAGTAAGCTATTCTCAGTTAAAAGAATAATTAAGTTAAGAGAATAATAATATTTTCAGCAAGATTTCAGAAGATTTCAGAATTGCTTCCTTCCTAGGGCTGAGAGAAAATGACAGGTCATCCAACAGACAGGTGGGACTAGAACTCATGGTCTCCTGACTTCTAACGCAGGGTCTTAACCATTACACCAAACTGGCTCTCTTCTAGTAATATCTACATAAAAATCTCATATTAACAAGACAAATAGTAAATATGCTTTCTAGATAATACAAGCTTTTTGGGGGAACTGGCTGATAATATATTTCCACTTGCCCTATCCCAGTGATGGCGAACCTTTTAGCGACCAAGTGCCCAAACTGCAACCTAAAACCCACTTATGTATTGTCGGGTGCCGGGTGGGCATGGCTGCGGTGGTAATGGCAGACAGGGTGGGACTAAAAAGTTCAATCAATCAATTCCAACTTTGCAAGATCTTTTTTTTTCCCGCGAGAAGTTGAAATTGACTGATTGATTGAACCTTTTTTTTTTTTTGCACATGGCAGTGGAGGCCTAAAGCGAAAAGGTTTTATAAAACCCAGCTGAAGGCCTAGGACTGGGGCGACGGAGCGCGTGCCCACAGAGAGGGCTCTGAGTGCCGCCTCTGGCACCCGTGCCATAGGTTCGCCACCACTGCCCTATCCATATACAGTCCTCGGGTTATGACCATAATGGAGTGTGCATATTATGGTCATGAGTCATAATACTGATAACTTTACTATGTAACTTTTTTGTGGTGGTCATTAAATGAATGCAACAATCATAAATGCAAATGCCGCAGTTAGTAAACAAATCTTTGCTGAAAACTGGAAATGCTGGGTTTTTACAAAACCAGCGTGAAACATGGTCATATGATTGTGGCATTCTGCAAATGGGTGTAAATGTGGCTGTGTTGCCAAGCATCCAAAATGTGGTCATTGACAATGTAGACAACCATAGGAACTTTGGATACGGATAATAAGGCCCCTTTTTCAGATAGGACATAAGTCAAGGATTTATATAAAATACTTTGAAAGCGGGATTGGTTAAATTTTGATGCACTAATTTTTTCTTACACAATATTCAAAATTAATACCTGCTCCAAATAAAAGGAGTAGTTAATTCTACTACCTCATTTACTTTAATGTGTAGGCCAGACCCTAATAGATAGTTGCAGAGTTGCTGGGCAGGACTCCAGTGGAAATTGTGTCTTAGTGCCTCAAAAACCAAATCTCCTTGCCATATAAGCTTCATTAGTACAAAGACAGGTGTTATAGAAGATTACAATGAAAAATTAAATATCTCACTAAGTTCATATAAATTCACTTGAATTTTATATTATTCCTATAAAAGAACTGGGAGGCCGTACTGAAATGGGACAAAACTACTACTATAATTCAGGTAATGGGTTATTATTGGTCTGGTGACTATTTCTATTTCTAAGAAATTCAGCATGTTTTGTAGAATACTAAAAATCGTGAAGGAAATCAGATAAACAAGATTTATAAATGAATTACTTTCACTGATTTTGCCACAAATGGCACGAATGTAGTTTCAGATATGATCAATCCATTACTTTAACTAGTCTTTAACAGATGCAGAGCACAGAATTGTCTGTTTTTACCTGATTAATTTGATTTTGTAGAGATGTTAGAAGCCCTTCACGCTGTTCATCCTGTCCCTTGAGACACGTGAGTACCAAAGACAGGAATGGTTGCTGACTCAGAAGAGACATACTTTAAAGAAGCAGAGTGGACACTGAATTAGATGTGTCTTTCTGATACTTCCTCTCCCCAAATTCTTCCTTCCCCTTTTCAGTGTTTCTCTAAAAGGATTTCTTTATAAATTCTCATCACTATTTTAAAACCACAAAATTGTTAGACGGAAAAGAGTACGTGCACTGGTCTTACTTCACAGTTTGTCTAATATACCAGGTCCTTTTCTCTCGAAGGAAATACTTAGTAAGACACTCCGTCTACCCGTCAAACATTTACACTATTTATTTATTTATTTTACAATATTTTCATCTTTCGAAGAAGTTTTGTAACTATTGAAAACGTCTTTATTTGTCAAAGACTTAATAATAATTTATAGAAGTACATATTTCCACTACTTAAAGCGTATTTCTAAAATTTTCTGCAGTGATATATAAATCAATTTATATAGGATTCTTGAGGATAGCAAGCACAAAACTACTTGTTTTGGCAAATGATTTAATATTGCCTAATAATGAGAGATGTGTGACAATTTTTTCTCATGAAATATAAGCATCTCAAGTCCTCTTGTACTTTGAGACAAGTCAGCTCATCCTATCAGAGATAAGGAAAAGAAGTATAAGATTCTTGTTTTCTCTGTTCTTCCATTTTGTATTTTACTTTCATGGTGACAAAAATAGTATGCAATTTCTGAGATTATTTAGGTTACCAAGCAACTCAAAAACATTTAACAAGGAGCACTTTCTCACCTTTGTAACAAAGTATTATTTAATTCTTTCTGATAATTAGTTCAAGAAAAATTAATACTAATTAATAGCATAAATTTAATTTTTAAATATAAAATTTGATGTGGATGATAATAGAAAAGAAAGGAAATTCCACCAACTTCCCACCTATAATATGAATTAGGGAATATTTTTCATTAAAAGACATCTTAGTACGTCATGATTTACCAGACTCCTAGGTACAATCCTAATACTAACTTAAAAAAGAAAAGCATGTTTGTGATAAGTAGATCTGCGATAAAAGTAGTTAGCTTCATGTGCAAATTAAGAACAAAATGACTTACTTTGATGCTCTTTTCTTAATCTTCGGGATAAGTATTTAGTTTAGTTTTCAAAAAAACAATATTTCTAGGTAACAGGTAGACCTTATTTTATTTAAGAATTTACTGTGTTCATTTTCTTAAAAATAAATATGCCACACAGTTGGGTTTTTCCCCCAAAACAATATCTGGTTTCTACTGGTTTCTTTAAAGAAATTCTATGCTTCGTTGTTGCAGAAGCGATTAACTGGTTTAAAATACAGCCATATTTTCCAGTATCTTCTACCTCTTCTGTTTTTGCCTGTCTCTCTCCTTCTTAGAACATGATCCCAAGTGCTGGCCTTTCTCTAGTTCTTCTCCAGCTGCTTTCAAGACTCGACCTTGAACAGATGTTGGCAGCTTTGCAATCAGGGGAGCCACTAACCAGACACCTTGTCTTTCAGAAGAGCTAAAGACATGAAACAAATAAGATTTTTGAACAGAATATTAATACATTCAGTACTGGAAGAGAGAATGCTATGTATGCAGCTTTATGCTTCAGAAGGAAAGGCAAGATATATACCGGGTAAAATAGTAAAAGTTTACAACTAATTTTTGAATTGTAAGCTGCCCAGAGGCATTGATGAGATGGGTGGCTATAGAAATTGAATGAATGAATGAATGAATGAATGAATGAATGAATGGTTTAAATTCAGTTTGACTATTATATAGAATTTCTGATCTGACACTCCGAATGTTGTCCACTTAGATAGAAATTTCCTATTTCTTCCAATTAAGGATGCACTTGTTAGAAATGAAAAATAAAGAAATTATCTCTCATCTTAAACCAATAATTATTTTCCATAAAGTTAAAAAATAAAAGAGTTCACTGAGGAATCAGGTCTAATGTGCAGCTTAGGTTCTTTTAAAATGAAATTTTCTTAATTTCAACAACCTATTTTATTTTTAAATCAGAGAAAGATTATTAAATTCTTAATTCATTGACTCAAAGTATTTATTTAACCTGCAGCTAACACTGTGTTTATCCTCTTTAGCGTCTATTTAGTAAACAGTCAAGAGAATGAAGAAATTCTTGCATGCCCAGGTACTCCTTGGAGGCAATAGTTTTTGCATGCAGAAGAAATTAGTATTCCTTGAAGTTTTCTGGTTCAGCACACTATATTTCTCAGAATGAAAAACCACAATTATTCAGCAGCAGCCTTTGTGAGTAGACTCCTCTCAAGTGTTTCTATTAAAAAAAAAAGTGTACATAATTTCTTCATTACCAATTCTGATTGATTACATTACCTTAGGAATGTCTTTTTACAGTTCTGCCTTGTAATATGTGTGTCAGCATTTCCAAGAGAGTTTGGATTGAAGAGGCCTATACCAGAGTTAGAAGAGTTATTGTTTAGATCAGCGGATTGCTGAAACACTTCAATTGTCGCCTTTGCAATATTATCCAACAAGCTGTTCATTTCAGCCACAGACCCAGAACCCTACAGTAAAACATAAGTAAACTAACGCATTCATGGTATGTTTGCTCATACACTATGTTATTTTGTAAAGGTACATGATTAATTAAAAAGAAAGCAAGAAATACTCACAGGTTCCTTCAGACACTGTTTGATCATTAGTTGAAGTTCCAGCCATGACTGTCTAAGAGTCCACTGGTCTATATTCTGAATCAAAAAATGGAGGAGAATTTTGTTCTTCATAACATTTCTAAAATTATTATTCTCATCAATAAGTTGATATATGGTTTTATTATGTTACATGAAATATTTTGTTATACATGTATATTGGATATAGCTAATTTTGTTAATTCCTGCTGGTGGAATTCTGTGGGTGGATTAAATTGAGAAAACAGGGCTATAGAAGGGGAATATGACCTTATAGCAATATACACTTGATCAAAGTTTGTCTTCCATTCAAATCTAGTTTAACAATGGGAATGCCATCTGTACATATGCTTTTGAGTTTCTATGTTCAAATGTAGGACTTTGTATTTCTTGCTGTGAAAATTCAACTTGCTAGTTTCTTGATTGTTTCAATCTTTTATTATCCTCGAGTTGTATAATTTTTTCAAAATGATGTTTCTCTTCCCACCTGCACCCATCTCTGCATCCCCTGCAGATGTGATAATCTTATTTTCTATTTCTTCATCCAATAGAATAGAATAGAATAGAATAGAATAGAATAGAATAGAATAGAATAGAATATCTTTATTGTCATTGTGTAACTCACAACAAAATTAAGTGCTGTCCACAGTGCACACTACACACAAGTAAAAACCACAAATAAGAACATACATTATATACACACATCCTTCACATTCTATTCACCATTGCACTGCCCCTAATATTGCACTTCAGTGTTGCAGTATACAGTGGTATTTAATATGGTTACAGCTCTGGGATATTTTTCAGCCTATTTGTCTTTGTCTTTATTATCCTGTATCATCTGCCAGGTGGTAATAGTTCAAAAAAAGAATGTCCAGGATGAGATGAGTCTTTAAGAATATTTTGAGCTTTCCTAAGACAACGGGAACTGTACAGTTCGTTCAGGGAGGGAAGAAAGGGCAGCCAATAATCCTCTGGGCGACAGTAATAACTGTCTGGAGTGTTTTCCTATCTGCTATTGTGCAGCAAGCAAACCACACACAAATGCAATGGGTTAAAATGCTCTCCATCGAGCAACGGTAAAGGTCACCAGCAGTTTTTCATTCAGTTTTTGTTTCCTGAGAAATCTCAAGAAATATAATCTCTGTTGGGCCTTCTTAACCAATGCTATAACATGAGCACTCCAGGTCAGGTGCTCCTTTATGGTAACAGCGAGAAACCTAAAGCTTGCCACCTGCTCCACACAGTCTCTGCTGATGATCAGGGGCTGAATGTCTGATCTATTCCTCCTGTAATCTACTATAAGGTCCTTGGTCTTAGTTGTGTTGAGAACCAAATTATTGTCTCTGCACCACAAGAGCAACCGCTCCACTTCATCCTGCTAGGCAAACTCATCCTCCTTGGAGATAAGCCCCACCACTTATGTATAAATATGTTGAATAGCACTGGGCCTAAAAGAGAGCCTTGTAGTATGCCATTCAACGTATTTTTCCAGCTTGATCCAGGATGCATTGGAGAAAAATTGTAGGCCATATTACATGAATAAAAAATGGATCATCACAACAATAGTGCTGTCCTTCTGTCCCCAAAAGCAACAGCAATATTATATCAGGTTATATCTAGAATATAGTATATAGTTCTGAGCACCAAAATTTTTGCGAAGACACTGACAAACTTAATTGCATCCAAAAAACAACAATCAAAAAGATTGTCCTACAATTGTCCTAAATACAAAAAATATTTAAATAGGGGCCAGAGCATGATGGTCAGGAAGTCTGTATTACCATAGCAGATTCCCAGACTGAGACAATTTGGTTAATTCTCCAAGGTCCTTTTCAACCCTTCCATTCTGTGAATCAATTATTTCACCTTTATAATTGCACACTGTTTCTATTTAACAACTCCTAGTGGTGCAGTGGTTAAAATGCAGTATTGCAAGCTAACTCTGTCCACAGCCTGGAGTTTGATCCTGATGGGCTCAAGGTCCTTCCGAGGTTGGTAAAATGAGGACACAGATTATTGGGGGCAATATGCTGACTCTGTAAACCACTTAGAGAGGGCTGTAAAGCATTATGAAGCAGTATATAAGTCTAAGTGCTATGAATAATTATGAAACAATAATCCAAGTGTTCGCTTCATTTAGAAAAAAAGTAAGCAACAATAATGCAACAAAAAAAGCAAATCAAACACAAACTTCTTTCTTATCTAAGCTAAAATAAATTCATTTTAAATGTAGTTACCTGAAGAATGCGCTTGATGTGTTGTCTCTGAGGATTGTCTCCTTCCGCACATTCTTTAATACTGTGAGGGTAACAGATAAGCTGCAACAATTTCTGTGCTTGTTTGTTGGAGAGAACTGGATCCAGGATAAGATCTTTGTCAGTACATAGCCTCTCAGGTTCTTTCAAGCAGTGTTCCCCCACCCATTCCTACCAAAAGAATTCGATGGAGAATAAGCATCAGTACAAAAGTCAAAGCCAAACTTAACTGTGTAATTTGAATGTAACTCGAGTGTATAACAAAAACACAGTATTTTTCAGAAAGAATGGAGTTCATACTGGATATTACTTCTTTATGGCAAAAAATGAGTCTAACTTCATCTTGCAATGTAGCTTCAGTACTTATACTGAAGAACTGACTTGAACACAAATATAGTAGATGTCATTTCCACTATATACATGGTTTGAAATAATTTTGAATAAAATATGATTTTTCAGTGTGGTAGTTATTGCATCTAATATATTCATATCTCACCTTTCTTTGCAAGAGTTAAAATGCATACATCATGGCATTATATCATCATAATACTCTTAGCCCCAGTTTAGGCTATAAAACAGAGATTGGTCATGGCTGAATAGAGATTGGAAACCAATTGTCTTTGGTCCTACTCCAACAGTTACTCCACATTGATCCTATTCACACTTATCAGAATATACTGGCAAGAGTAACTGCTTCAATTCCACATGGACACACAGACCAATGCACAAGAGAAAAAGCCTGCAGTCACCAACTTTCACAATCCTACCTCATACCGTTGTTACAATGAAAACGTTTTAATACAGATACATGTGTTATTATTTCCTTTTGCTTCTGGTCACAATGGACGACTGTTTACGAAGAATCATGTATAGATCGTATAAGTGACTCTCATCGTCAAAGATACCTTTACCGAAAAGGTATGTTTCAGAAACTCCATCGAAGGGTATAGAGTAGTAGTAAATCATCTCCCAGTAATCTTTGTACTGAGTAATCTGAATTTTTCAAGGAGGGAATATTGTTGCTTCCAATTTCAGCATCACCTATATTGTAGGAATAGTAAAAAAGATGAAAAGGTTTATTAGTCCTTTAATATAGTTTGGCTTTCACCTAAGTGCCCTCTTAATTTATTTTTGCTTAATGCTGCTTCCAGTTTTAGAAGTTATTGGTATATTATTTTAATATTTGAGGATGTCTGGCTATTCTTTTTAGAAAAGAGTCTAATAAATATTTCTTCAATTATGTATGCTATAGTATGATATAATTTGCTTGCTCTTTAGAGTTCTTACAGATATATAAGATAAACATTTTTAAATTTTATCTTAAAGCAAATAAGAAACAATGCCCTACAACACCAAAATTACATACTTTAATAAGCAAACACATTAAAAGTGAATTTATATTACTGGAGAGGAAAAATACTGATTGGTAAACATGTTATTTAGCTATTAATTTTACATCTGTCTTTTTTTCTAGGAGCTTAAATGTAAATGGAGGATACCCCTTTGTTTTTAGGTTGAGCTAAGAGGTAGGGATTGGCCCAAAGCCAACACTGATATCTGTGGGCAAGTGGGGCTTCAACTTGGTCTCCATTCGCCTGTGTCAAGCGCAAAGGATCAGGACCATAACTCCTCTTCCCAGTTCTGCCTGCTCTTCCCCTACAGCCTGTCCAATATTTTAACCAGCACCTTCCAGAACATCTCATACAGTACCCTATACTAGCTCCCATTTGTACTTTTATTAATCTATTATTCATCCTGGAAGATGTTTCTGACACCATGATTCACTTCCTAGAAAAGTTTCAAGTTTATAATCTATCAGGTTTTCAGTAAATGTCTGAATGTATATGTGGGAGTAAATCTCATTGCATGTCCAAACAACTAGACACAAAGACAGTTTTCCCCCATGCCATTACTCTGCTAAACACCTAATTCCCATAACACTGTCTCCTGCCTAAGGATATTTACCTATGTAGTAGGGCTGTATTGCTATTATCCTTTTCATCTTTCCTATTACCTTCTTCTATTGGTATCTTATAATTTATCACTTTATTGTTTGTATGTACACTGAGAGTTTATCTATGTACATTGAGAGCTTATGTTTGTATGTACACTGTATGTTTGTATGTACACTGTATATTTGTATGTACACTCAGAGCTTATGCACCGGAGACAAAATTCTTGTGTGTCCAACCACACTTGGCCAATAAAGAATTCTCTATCCCTCTGAGGACCATACGCCTAGCTTCAAAGTAAACACGTACATGAAGAACTTTAAAGCATGATCATACCAAGCATAAGAATTGCTTTCAAAACAGCAAATACTGCTCCCACTTCTATGCTGTTGTGAGCAGCACTTAAAAGGCGGCGATCACAAGATGATCGAATTCCTGGGAAACATTTTTCTGTGTAAAAAGAGAACAATATTCTTTAGGAATACTGATTTCTGTTTCAGTGGCACAAAAACTATTGCACTTAAGAGAGGAAATGAATTTGGAGTTCTTACCACTTGACAATAGGGAAATCTTGGGTGTTTGGAAGAGATGTAGAAGAAGCCGGCAAGTCATTCTTGCCCCTGGCTCAGCATCTGGATCTCCACAAGCTAAGAAAAGGGTACCACTTTATCATTATATCATAGAAAAATAAATTGTCATCTTTAGTGCAGCTGAAAAAAACCTTGAAACTAATTTTAAACATTGGAATAAAAAAAATAAGGCTTTCACATATCAGTGCTGAGGAAATTCTTACTATATCAAATATTCTGCAAAATAAAGTTTTTTTATAAAGACTTTTTCATCAATATATTTTAATTCTGTTTTGTTATCTATTTTTTCTAGTTTAATATTTCACCTTGATATGAAATAAGAAAAGATTTAAGCTATTATTTAACATAGGGATTCCCAACCCCCAGTCCATGGACCGACACCAGCCCGTGGGATGCTAGAAACTGAGCCGCACAAACAAGCAGGGCCCCATCTGTGGGATGCAAGCAGCATGTGAAACCAAGCCGCCTCCAGTCCATGGAAAAAAACTCTTTCCATGGAATCGGTCCCTGGTGCCCAAAAGATTGGGGGGGGCACTGATTTAACATGTTGAATGTATTTTGAAGGTTTGATAAATACTGACAATTTATGAAGAAAAATGACAAATGTGAAATACATGATTGAAAAAAAAAATGTAAAAACACACAAATTTTGGATGTACAATGAGGAAAGATTATGGGAAATAACAATGGGGAAACTGGAAAATACAGAATAGATATTTAAAAAGCTAAATATGAATTTGTGTGAGACTCTAAGAAGTGGTTTCAAGTAAACATAATGCAAGATGTAAGATCATATGAATTTATAAAAATTCAAAGGTAACAATACCATGAGTATGAAACTAATAGTTCAGTTAGTTTCAGTTATACACTGTAACAAAGTCCAAAGCAAAATTAATATTTGATGCCAGAAATAGGAAATCACAAATAAAACGGTAATAAAAATACATGTTCAATTTATAAATGCAAAAAAGATAAAATGCTTTGCTTTCTAGGCCAAAGAGATAGTTAGTGGGCAAATAGGTTGTTCTACAAACAATCTTAGCAAATCTTTTTCCCAAAGAAGTGGGGACTCTTACTGTTTTAATACACCTCGAAATCTCACCTGCTGTAAGTAAAGAAGGAAGAGCTACGTGTTGAACTACATCCTCAAGGAAAAAACATTGACGAGCTATCAGTATTGCAACAAAGGTAGCCAATGAATCATGGAATGACAGATCACTCACCTTAAAGGAAAAAGAGAAAAAGAAAAAGAAAACCCCAGGGTCAATATTTCTGTTTGGGTAATTTGCTAGTAGAAAAACATTATATTTTTTACATAGATCTAATTATGTAGAACTATGGTTTTCTATTTTTTTCTATTGATTGATCTACCCTTCCCTGATTCTGTGCCACAATATATCAGTTGCTGGTTTTTAACTTGCTATGATCCCAGCAAGTCAGAGGTCTGAAAGTGTGAAGTCACCATTGCTGTACAGAGGTAATACAACTCAAGGCAAAAGTAACAGTGTTTATTAGCTAAGGTCACAATTAATAAAACAGATAGATATATCCAGTTGCCTGCCACCAGACTATGCTTGTTCTACTGCACTTTATTATAACATTATGCCAAGACAAGATACTTTGATTCAGTTACCTTGCCAATAGGGAATTATTCCCCAAACCAGGAGAATAAAGATATTTGTAAAATGCTACCCTAATTTCATGGGCATAATTCAGTGTTAAAACAGTTTTACAGAGAAAAGTCCTTGGATTTCAATGAACAGTTGCAGGTTTCTCAAACTATTGCTTTCCCTTATGCTCAACTATCAGGTAGAATCTCTCCTGAAATCTCTTGTGAAACCAGTGGAAAACACAAAACACTGCAGGAACGACTCATGTAAATTAACAACTAATATTTGTGTTATGTATAAGAAGCATAATATCAAAAAATTATATGGCTTTTTTGTTAGGCAGAAAATCTACAAATATTCACCATGCAAAACAAAAATCAAAAATTATTATTTTAATTGCATTTTTTGCACTTACATCCACACTGCAGAGAAGATCATTAAATCCCCAGACGTGATTTGAAGAACAGCAAAGGGCTTTCAAGACTCCTAACCACTCTGAACTTAGCACTGTACAGCAAGCCGTTAACTCTGCACACAAGTTGGCAATATCATTAATTCTAGGAGACAAAAATAAATTTAAAAAACCATGCTAACAAAGTAAAAAGTAACAGTTTAACGGCAGTCAAATATTTGCCATGTCAGTGGTCTGCAACCAAACACATTTATTTTTTATTAATATATTTAGATAAAATAAACGTGGGGAGAAGGAGAAGAGAAAAATAAATATGCTTGGGTCAATGTAAAATATAGGGAGTTAAAATATATGATTTAAATTACTTCTGGATATAAGCTATTTAAAAAGTCTTCTTAAAATATCATCACTCAATTATCAAATAGATGGATTATTTAATAATTTTCAGAGTTAGAAGCGTTGGTCCTCTGTCTGAAATTCAAGAGATTGCAACATTGCTGGACAATCTGATGTCTTACAATAGCTATACCACAGTACCTTACAGGAAGATACATGAACTTTAAGTGAAAATGCAATTTCTAGTATCTGGGGATATCAATTTCTTAGCAGCATGCTAAAACAAAGTTTTATTTTAACATTGTTGGTTGAATGACATATAGTGATTGGCTTCATATATCAAGTTAAGCCATAAGACATGCTAGGTTCCTTCCTCATGGTTAGCTAAAGCACACAAAGCACATTAGTATTTAGAATTTATGGACCTAGTCAATGATAGAATTGTTGGAAAGTTTTGCATCATCAGGGACATTCTCCAGTCATGATTTTCCTTCAAAAAGATATATATGTAGAAAAAGCAAATGTATCATATTATACTATAACAGTAGCATGATTACAACATTCAGAATTTGGAAGAAGGACTGTCAAAACTATTACTTATTTATTTGGTAGATTTAGAACCTAGTTGACTCCAGAATAATTCTGTGCAGCTTACATTTAAAATAGGAAAACAAACAACCTAAAGTGTTTTCTGGTGAGATCGGTCTATCAGGGCAACCTGGTCTACCCTAAATATGGGACGGAGCATACTGCTTCCACTTTCGCCTTTCAGCTCCAATCCAGAAGCCTTCACAGGCAGTCACTTCTGCGACAGACTATTTCTGTGTTAAATTTAAATTTACCGAGAAAGAATTAAAGGGAGACTAGTATAACTATTTCGAGCTATTTAGCTCTCACCAGCTAGTTCGAATCTCAGAAGGGTATGGTTGCTGATGAGAGCTAAATAGCTTGAAATAGCTGTACTAGTCTTCTTTTAATTCTTTGTCGGTAAATTTAAATTTAACAAAAGAACCTAAACATCTGGACAAACTGTAGAACCAACCAGCCAGAGCTTCACAAAGATCCTATTCTAAGTCCTGGGAGAAGAGCCAGGTTTTTAAAGACTTGTGGAACACCACCATCAGAGTGGGATATAAACACCTCTCAGGGGGAATATCATTCTAGATGGCAGACACCATGACAGAAAAGTCATACCTTCTAGTCCCCAATAAATGGCATCACTTAATTGAGGGAACCAAAGCATACCAAATGGGCAGAGACCACAGGAGATATTCTGGATCTATGCTTTGAAGGACTCAGCCTCCGAAAAAGGAGAGAACCACCATAGCACAGTGCTTCAACTACCAAACCCTGCAGCTGGTCCTGCCAATGAGGTGCAATCTCTTAGCCCAATCAGCCTGCTTCCATCATTTTTTAATCTTTGAAATAAAATTTATAGTATTGAATTGTTATGCCAAAATTATTCATGTGCAATTTTGTTCTTGCTATATTCTTTTAGGAAGTATTGTTAGCACATCTTATAACGATAGAGATTAGGGAAGAAGCCCATGGCAGGAAAACCTGCTGTAAGAGATTAAGTGAAGTACAAAAGCAAGATGGCAGGTTATGATACATGCCCCACTTCTTGTATGCACAAATGCAATGACAAATGAAAGAAACACATCTAGTTTTGCATAGCTGTATCTATCTTTCCTGTTTTGATCTCATTGCAGACCCCAATGGGTACAGTGCTTGCAAAATTTGCCTAAATAAGAAGCTTTATGTTTGCAAAATAGCCTTACCTGTCTTCATCTTGATGGCCCATGCAGACATTCATTAGTGCATTACACACAAAGCTATAGCGACTTGGTGCATTGTCACTCAGAATCTTGGGGTTGTAACTTATAAATTCCAACGCTTCTCTCCCTAAGAGTTATTTTAGGTTGTACTTAAGTCCTAGGGTATTGTTTAACCTTAAACTTCCAACTTGTAACGATATATATCAGACGAAATGGAAACTTGTCCGTGATGATTTTTTTCTTTTCTTTGTCTTTCTTAATTCGTTCATTTTTTTAAAGTATGTTTTGTTTGTTATACAGCTAATTAGAATTGTGTACAATTTACTTAGCAACACTTGCTCTTAAAACATTGTACCTATAAAATAACCGTGAAGAACTGAAACTCCAGTTTTCAAAGAGATCAGAAAATACATAGTTGAATCAGCCAAAACTGCATGACTGAAAAGATGCAGTATATCATTGGTCCCCAATCTTTCCAGCTCCATGGTCCAGCAACAGGTGGGGAGGGGATGGTTTCCCGCACATGTTATTTGCACAAATGGAGATTTACACACTGGCCCACAGCTTGCGTGACCCTCTTCTCAACAGATCACTGATTGGTACCAGTCCACAGACAGGGGGTTGAGGACACCTGCAGTATATTTTCTACCAAAAATGAATAATAATGGGTCTCAAAACCAAGTAAATCCTGGGCAATTCTTGAGTGAGGGATTAAGATGTTGCAGCACAACAAGGGAAAAATGTAAGAAGATTTTTAAACAGCAAGTTCAAAAGCAGGAAAGAACATATATATGACCCATGCTAATTTAGGAAAAAATCCATAGCAAATGTACATAAATCAAGTGGCAAAGAATTGTATGACTACATAGCTGGGGTATGATTCAATACATGAAGTTGACTATCTACTTTGTATCCTCTATGAGAAACATCTTGGACATTGTCATGCTAGAAATAAGAGGAGCAGCAAATGCAGTCAAAATCCTGCTGCAGATGTTTTGGAAAGAGAGTGGAGATTTTCCCATGCCAGATATATATTGGGGGAGCCACATCACCATTAACAGAATTAACAGAATTAGTAAGAGACAGAATCTCAAATAAACATTCAACCCCTGGATAATTAAAATACCCCTTGAAGTCTTTTACAGATCCTACTTAACATCTGGCAATTCCAGAAATGTTCTTGATTAAATATTTATTTTGAATGCAGCTGTATGATACAAAGTGCATTCCAAATGGGGTGACATTATTCCGATGCTTATAAACACATACCAATCTTTTTATTTATTTTTTCAAACTTTTATTTTTTCTGCCCTGGTCTACAACACATTTTCTGAAAGCAGGCTGATTAATAGCGTCTGTGATTCCAAAACATCAGTGCTGTGATGCTAAAGCCTATAAAATAATGGTACAAATCTCATTCCAGAACTCAGAAGGAAACTTATCCATTACTCTGTGTATACTATGCAAAACAGAATTCTCACAGTACTGAAATACGTGGCAGCGATGCAAAGAAAGACATTAAAACATTAATGACTTGAAACAGGCATACAAATCTCCTCTATAAGCACAGAGAATGTTTCTCAATCACTAGAAAAGGGAAGTTGATCCATATATACACACATATAGAACACCATTTACACTATTCCCTTTTAGGATTTTAGGATTACTAACTTTAAGTAGAGCAGTAAGACAAAAAAATTAAAGGTACCGGATAAGACAAATCTAGCTAAATCTATTTCATATTAACACCTTCCCACAGTTATTTATCTTTGTGAATCATCCATACACTGCTTCATATATTGACTTTTATTTTTGTAACTTTTTATCCGTCTCTTTTTGAGGATTTCATTATCTCAATCCTTGGTCTTCCCCTTTTTCTTCACCTTCATATGTCTTAAGGTGGCGCGGGGGCAAGAATTCCCCGACAGGAACCTGGGGTGACATAACCCTTTTTTGGTGTTAGATCAGAGATTGGAAGAGAAAAATACCTTCTAACAACTCTCTCTTTAACCAAAGTCGATATCTCTCTGGACCTACTTATTATACTTGGGAAAATTTATACTAAATCCGATCCCACAGTATACTTCTTTCGTGACAAATACGAACTGGATGGCCTTTGGAGGGTTTGGGATGGGCATAGTGCAACTGTTCTGGATCTCTTAGCAGCTTTCAGTACCATCAATCATGGTATCTTTCTGGACTGACTATAGAAAATGGGTGTCAAAGGCCCTTTTCTGCAGAGGTTCTCCTCCTGCCTCTGTGGCCACTACTAATTGGTAGGAGGAAGAACCAGCCCTAAGTCTGTACAATATAGGTTGCCTTAGGCTTTGAGCTTCTTGTTAATATGAAATTGCTCAGTAAGGCCATACAACAGCACAGAGTAAGGTATAATCAGTATGCAGATGATACCTACTTATACATGTCTACTACTGGCAGGGCAAATGACACCATTTCAGGGTTGATCCAGTGCCTGGAGGTTGTGGGGGTCTTGATCAAGAGAGACTGGCTCTGACTCAACCCTAATAATAGAAAATGGTTTTGGGTTTAGCTATTGGGCTGGTTGACATATTATCTTTTATTCTCAATGGGATAGCTGGTGCACAATCTGACTCTATGGAGGGGGAAGGATTTTACACATATACAGTATGTCTTGTGTACCAACTGTATCTATTCCTAGATAATCACAAGTCTTTTTTCACATTCGTATTCCAATGCATGGTAATGGCATTGTATAAATTATCAAGTACAGATACATCCTTCACACATATGTAAAAAAGTCAGACTTCTATTCCATAAGCAAATTGGATCAACACTTTAACTTTTCTCCAGATATAGCATCAATACTTGTAGTCTTTTCAAAATACAACAATTCTGACTTGCTTTTCATCATTTTTTGTGGAAAGGGGGAGACACTAACATTTATAGCATTTGTTTCAATTCCTATAATTTACAAAACCCAACTAAGCAATAGAGAAAGGAACAGGAAAGATCCGAGAATCACTATTGTACATTCATTAAATTTCAGGGCTGGTTATCTTTCAGAGTAGAATATAGGAAGTACCACTAATGCATGGTAATAATGATGGACAGATGAAGAAAGAAATATTGGCCAAGTTATATAAAAACTTGGAAGAGGGACATTTAATTCCATTTCATGCCACAAAATAATTTGGGACTATAGTGTTGATTGTGACTTTGAAGCTGTACTCAGAATCAATTCTGCCCTGAATATTTAGAACTATAAGAAGTGAATAATAATCAAGAGACCCATAAAAAATACCTTCCGCACATTATTAGTGCTTCTTTTTTAAAGCAATAGGAAAAACTCAACACTTGGTTTCTCAATACATGCAAACTTTTAGGAAATACTTTCAAGTTTCCTTTAAGCAACCTGTCCATAATGGAAGATTTAAGAGATTTGCAGAAGTATTATTCAACACAGGAGACCAGGCACTATTAGATCATGCTTGGCTTTTCATCATATGACCAGAAGCTTTAGAAAGTGTAGATAATATAACTCATTTCCAAAATGAGGGGTTTTTTTTAAAGGAACTTTGGTCAAAATGGATAATATGTAAGAAGTCACAGAATTATAACTTCTGAATTGTATAGAAATTGCGTATGCTGCAAGGAAAACAGAGGTAAGAACTTCATTTGAAAAGTTTTATTAGATCATCTGATTCCACATTTTAAAAAAATCGTAAAATGTTACTTTGAGCTGTAAATCGTAAGATTATTGGAAAAGCTAATCTGTGTGATACAGCAAAAACAATATACCTGCTCGCTTCTGATACCTTGATATATTGTGGGGATTTTTTTAAAAAAGTATTTTCACAAGAAATTAAAACTTTAGAGCAGAATAATCAGAATTTTTATAATTAAGTTGTCAGCTAATGGAAATAAAACTATGTAAATTGAGGTCAGTAAGGTTGAGGTGACTTTAGTCATTTTTAAAAAGTAAGATTGACTTGTCTTACTGTGGTGAACAGACCGAAAGGCAAAACCCCAAGAAGCAAAGTCTATTTCATATTCTCTTTTTGAGAAGTGAATTATTTTATGTGGAATGGCTACATATTAATATTAGGATAGCTATACATTTAAGTATGGACAAATATCTATGAGGAATTTCCTCTTTCTGAATCTATTAGAAAACAGAAAAAGGTTGAAGTAAAATATTAACTGAAATCAATTATGATACTGTGCAATCCTTTTCTTTAACAATGTAGTGTGTTTTATACTACAGTTTCCTTCTCCAAGTTGCTCATGTACACAGGATTGACAATTCATAATAAGAAAATTGCCTCTAAATCTGTGGAACTGAAATCCTAAGAAATCCAGTGGGCAGCTTTGGGGGGAAAGTTTCAAGTCCAAGAAAATATGTTTAAAATATTAAACAGAAAATTCCAAAATTTTATCTCTAACATTTTTTAAAAAAAAATAATGTACTGCTTCTTCTAACTGTAAGGTCAACTGATAATCAAGGATGGAATAAAAACATCCATAGCAGAACACCAGAACAGGTGTATCAAATGCCAGACAGAACTATTTCTGTCAGTTGGTCCAATGAAAAAGTGTACAAAAGAAATGGTTTGCATCCATCAAAGAAAGGGACTGAACTACTTGACAATAAATTCACAGATTTTCTGGAGAAATATTTAAGGCAGAATATCGGTAAATAGCCCAAGCCTGCAAAGATGAAGTGAGGAAAACTAAGTCTCAAAATGAACTAAGGCTTACAATAAAAGTCAAAAATAACAAAAAAAAGCTTCTTTCAACATGTAAAAAACAAGAAAAAGTTAAGGAAATGATTGGTCCATTAGTGGGAGAAAGTGGCAAGAAGGTGACAAGCAACAGGGAGAAAGCAGAACTACTTAACTTGTTTTTTGCATCCTTCTTTACACAAAAGGAAAAAACAGTCCAACTTATCAAAAACAGTACCATAAAAAACAGATTAGAAACACAAGTTAAGATAGGCAAGAAAATGGTAAATGAGCACTTGTCCACCCTAGATGAGTTCAAATCACCAGGACCAGATGGACTACACTCCAAGGTTCTGAAGGAACTGGCAGATGGTTAGTAGTAGTAGTAGTAGTAGTAGTAGTAGTAGTAGTAGTAGTAGTAGTAGTAGGAGGAGGAGGAGGAGGAGGAGGAGCAGCAGCAGCAGCAACAACAACAACAACAACAACAACAACAATAATAATAATAATAATAATAATAATAATAATAATAATAATAATGTTGGAAGGGACCTTGGAGGTCATCTAGTCCAACCCCCTGCTCAGGCAGGAAACCCTATACCATTTGAGACAAATGGCTGTCCAGTCTCTTCTTAAAAACTTCCAGTGTTGGAGCATTCACAGCTTCTGGAGGCAGGTTGTTCCACTGATTAATTGTTCTAACTGTCAGAAAATTTCTCCTTAATTCTACGTTTTTTCTTCATTGATTAGTTTCCATCCATTGCTTCTTGTCCTGCCTTCAGGTGCTTTGGAGAATAGCTTGATTCCCTCTTCTTTGTGGCAGCCCCTGAGATATTGGAACACTGCTATCATGTCACCCATCGTCCTTCTCTTCATTAGACTAGACATACCCAGTTCCAGCAACCAAACCAATTCTGAAAGGTATCAGACTGGTGAACGATTATTGCATGAAGGTTAGTTGAAATATAAAGCAAAGTATAAGTTGTTACTACTAACCTGAAAAGATCTCCAAATTTGCTTCTAAGATGGCTACAGGACCCATAGAGATCATACAGATAGGCTAAAATACATCTTTCAGGGGAAGAGCATTCTGATGGATTGACAACATGTTTGACCACACCACATAATCTATAGGAAGATAAATTCATTATTAAAAATTAGAAGTCAGTCACAGTACTGCCCTTTCACATGATTTAAAAATATACGATCGAATTATGTGGTCTTAAAAGCTATTCTGGGTTTCCAAGACAAAGAATAATATTTATTTATATTTAATTCTAGAAATACAGTTGTGTACAAACTAGATGAAGAATCTGCAACTTATGTACCTGGCACTATCTGTGACCCTCTACTGTAAAGCCTTTCCAAAGGTTGCCAGCAAATTATAACTGTAAATGTGATGACAAGGGAAATAATCAAGTGCATAGGAAATAATAAAATTAAGTGTATATAATTACTTAATTATTATTTATTCAACTTTAGATTTATCTTGGCTTGCTGGAACGTAACTTTAAAGCTAGATACAACCTTAGCCTAAAATAAGGTTCTGTATACCCACCCTGGATCTGTCTATGCTATAGACAATTTGATACTCTCTAAGACCTAATAGCTGATATGCAAGTCAATCAACCTCACAAAACCATAAGACACAGTGCCTATTCAATAAATTTAGTTAACACTAATCTAGTTGTAAAAAGAATATCTGTATATTTTTTATTTTAAGACTAATAAAGTAATACAAATAACATGTATAGAATAACAAAAAAAGAATTCAACTACATAAAACCAAGAATTCATATATGTGCAGATGTATTCTGTCCAATACATTGTAAATGTATTTATTAAATTAGAATTCAGATCTTCCTTCTCGGATTACTTCCTATCTTGGAAGAAGTCATTAGCCGAGAGATAAGACTACTTCAGGCACTTTAACATCTATTACATTGGGAAAATAATGAGTATTTGCATTTCAAGTTCTATTAAGTTTCTTTCTTTCTGATTACACGATGGTGTAAATTTCCCATCGAACTCTCTAATAATGCTGCATCCAAATTACAAACTGAACCTACTAATGTTAGAAAACTAAGATGTGTCTGAAAAACATTACCACTACAAACCCTTCAAAAACCTGAGCAGTTTGATCTGGATTCAAAATGAGGCAAGGATGATAATGCCTTAGCACAGCTACAATGCAAACACATAGTCCGGTTGTGTAATTTCCTGCCAGGCTGGATGACTTCAGTAGTAGTTCAGCTTCCACCACACTCAGCTCATTCAGCAGCTAAAATAAAAGGTTAAATATCACTTTAGGATTCCTCTCTAAATCTAAATGCTACAGAGTTGCATTGTAGTTGTTCATCATTGTTGAACTATTTAAGTAGATATAGAGTGGTTTCACATAGCCAAAAATCTGGCTTCCTAATCAAATCCTAATCAAAAGATACAGACTGTACAATAGTGGATCAAATCCACTAAATGAAGTGTCCTTGCCTTCTTTTATATATAGTTGTATCCATAGTTTATTTAGAATATTACCTCAACCAAGAACAACAAAGACTTAATTATTGATCTAAATGGCATGTTAAAGAAGCCATTAATATAACATGGATTTTTATGGATCTATATTATTCATGGTTCTAGATGTTCCCATGAGCACTTGGAGTCAGAAAGCATCATCACACTGATCTGACACTGCTATACTGATACTCATTAATTATAACTTAGAAGGCCATAATTCTGACTTCCTGTGATGTATAAATGGTCTTACAGTGGTATAAGTATTTTGGACAGAAATATAAATAAGTCAGTAATTTGCAAGGATCTTTCCTCATCTGAAGTCAAAGACTTTTCTCTCAAAAGTTTTATATCTGGAACAAACTTCTATGTTTTCTCTTTCAAAAAAGATTTTCTAATAATTAGAGTATACAAAAGTGAAGTGAATCTGATTTAGATATTTCTTAACGTGAAAAAATGTATTACTAGAATTGGATAGATTGTAGTATTATAGTTATTACTCTAAACACTATGTAGTTTCCTTGCTTCAGGAGTGAAAACCATTTCAAAGGTACTAGAAACTTTGCCTTATTTTAGCTGAGAATGGAAATAAGGTATTGTGCCACTGGAACACATGCACACTGGCATTTGCAAATTTATTGCTAAAGTCACTATCACAATGCCACTAGCATTCGCAGGAAAAGGCAAAAAAAAAAAAAAAGCCCAATACAGTTGTATATGGTTGATGTCACATGAACATGCAAAGTGGAGGGACTTTAACCATGCTGCTGCAACTACTATCTTGCCTTTTAGGATCCCACTCTTTCTCCCCATGGACATAGGTACCCAGGGCTGTAGTGTCTGAAGCTGACCAGCTGAATTTGGTATGAATTCTTTTCTTCCATCTTGTAACATTTAATTATTTTACAAGATCCTAATGTGGGCAATGCAGAATAAGATTCTGCTGATTGGGAAGTGAACATTCTATTGATCATGAAATATCTAGCATTTAAAATTGGCTAGGAACACAACAGGAAAGAGGGGGGGGGGCTTCCATATTAATAAAATGGAATGAGGGGAACTTATCAAATCTCTGGCCAATTATTGGAAGTATTGTTTTAAATATTTTGTTGTTCCCCTAAAAGGTATAAAAGGTGGAATAAAATAATTTAAATAAATATGTATATATAAACTTTATTTCAGGTACCTGAACAGCAAAGTCAATAAGTCCATTAATATTTAAAGCAGGTTCCATTAGATCAAAGATAAATTCTATGTGATGAGCTAGTGGAAGATGGTATGATGTTCCTGATGCAAAACTAGTAATCTGCTCCAGAACATTGTTGGAGATCTGTTTAAAAACAAACAGACCCATTAGCAAAGTGAAGCATTGTGGGAACCAGTACAGTAAAGAATTAGCAAGCATACATACACGTAACTGTAAGGGGTGGGATGGGGGTATAAAGTTATAGAGAAATTAATTCAGATCAAAATTATAGCCCAAGGTGAAAGTGAATCTCTACAAAGGTCTGAAAATGAGGCTTCATGAATAATTTGATGCTTTGAAGCTCTGGAAAAAGATGGATGCTAGATGCATTAAAAAGAATTTATTTCTAGAGTGTAGATTTTCATGGCTTCTGTTTATTGATGCTTATTGTTTATTGTTTATTTATTTATTAACTTCCAGGTAATACCACCCGAGACAATAAACTATGTTCCTATCTTCTTTGGAGCAGATATGAAACTGGAGGACATTCCACTTATTTCCCCAGAATTATTTTAGGGAAAAGAGAAATGTATACTTCTGTCTAAATCAGGGGTAGTCAACCTTGGCTCTTTTATGACTTGTGGACTTCAACTCCCAGAATTCCTGAGCCAGCTAAGCTGGCTCAGGAATTCTGGGAATTGAAGTCCACGAGTCATAAAAGAGCCAAGGTTGACTACCCCTGGTCTAAATAATTCAAATGACAACCAGTTTGATGTATTGGTTAATAGCCCTGGGCTAAAAAATGGGAGCACCGTGCATTCTAGTTCTGCTTTAAGGAGAAAACCAGCTGAGTGACCTAGGGCCAGTCACTCTCTCTTTGCCCTAGGAAGGAGTTCTGAAAAATGTTGCAAAGAAAACTGTAGGTCCTTCTCTAGAATGTCACCAGGAGCCAAGTATGATTCAAAATCATGCATATATGCATGAAAAAATTATACTGTACTTGTGAAAATTCTGCTTCTTTGTAAGAGATACCACTTGGCAAGTTCAGTTATTCATGTATTCAGTGTCTTGCAATCATTTTAATATGGTTTTATTGCTTGACAACTTATTATGAGGAAGGGGGAACAGACCAAATTAGGCTTTCTCTGTAGTAGCCCCAATATTTTGGTATACTTTCCTCCCAGGGAGGTGCTTGGCCCTCTTGTTACTGCAATTTATAAAAGCATGAAAGCAACTTTCAAAAATTAAGGGTCATTCAGCTGCTGCTATTTCTTTTTTAATATACTGTATTTTAATAAGCTTGGGACACAGGAATTTTATTCTATGTTATAGTAGGCCAGGAGATTTTAATATATATTTTCAACACTGCCTGGAGTTATGTGACAAAATCAATCTAAATAGTAAATAAATAAATAAAAATAAATAAATATCCATTGCAGTATATGATGGATCTAAGGAAAATTTATGTCTAAATCAAAATGCTTGTAGTAGATAAGAATCAGTTGTTTATATTTAGAAAATCATCTAAACGATGAGAATATAATAAATGATGAGGGTCGTATTCTAAGAAATAACATTTTGTTATTTTCAAAGCAACAAAATAATTCTAATCAAGTCTCTGAAATTAAGCAGATTTCTTGCTACAAATCACATTAATACTACTTTACATTTTCAAATAAAGCTAAACTCCTGGTTATTTAATGGATACATTTATAAATTTTTCCTAACATAATATAGAAATGGTTTGCCATTGATTGATGTACTGTATCTCCAATTCAAGTACTAATCCTGTTCAGCTCCTGAATCCAGACCAGGTTACATTGCTGATCACTAAATATGGAAGATTAATTATTCTTTCTTAATTGCTTCCAAATCTGCAACAACTCTACTTTTTCTTCACCTATTTGTGTGAAATTTATTCTTGCTAGTAAGTAGAAACATAAATACAAATGTTACCTAATTCTATCTACCCAAAACAATAATTAATAACTTTATTAAAAAGCAGATTTTAAAGTTAAAGTTAACCTCAAAATTCCTACACTCTTTGTCTGCAAATAGAAATTCATCATTCCTTGTACTTTTCTAATATCCATGCATAATTACTAACTCTGTTGTAGTCCTATGTGTGTTTCTCATGGTATTTAGTGGAAAACATGACTCTTAACTCAGACCAAGTTTAACAATGACATCCTCCAAATTTAAGCAGTTTCTTCCTCCAACATGCCATACTCTCCTCAAGTTAAGTTTTCCAGTCAATACAAAATTCCAGTTTACATCTTTTGTCCAAAAAGACAAAAATGTACTAGCACTAACATTCTTCCTGGCTCAGCCCTAAAACAGTTTTAAACTCTTTTAAATTGTTTCAACATCACAATAAAGATTTAATGTGGTGAGAATGTCTGATTTATACTCTATTTTACTGCTGAAATACAATGAAAATATTACAGAAATAAGCTTGCAATGCTGCTGTATCTCTTTTCTTTCATGTTTGGCATCAAAGCAAGCACCTTCAGCTATTCACAAAACATGCAGGCTAGGGCTAATTTTCTAGTGATGACTGTAGCATGAATCAAGATGCTAAGTTCCTAGCAGCTGTGATTTAAAATGACATAGGGAAACACCATTTAAAGTAATCTAGATGAACTAACAATTAAATGTGATTCAAAAGTTAGTAAGTTTAGTTAGTTAGTCTGAAATGCTCTCTTTGTTTTACCACCCACTCACCAGAAACACACACACAAATTTGCTTTCATTAATTCAGCCCTGTTGTACTCATCTTGCAGTTCTTTTCTTGTGATGAACATTTTTCTCTCCACAACTTCCAGTTTATACTGCATGTATTTTATATTATGCTCTAACTTCAAAGCAATTTCTGTAGCAGCTTATAAGTACCTGACTTGTCACTTGATGCTGGTCAAAGTATGAGAGCTGCTGAAGTTTTGTAAATACAGTCTCTAAAGTTGGAAATGCCTCTTGCTTGTTCTTCCTGACTTTTGGTCCTTCATCAGCACCTAAAGCATATGTCATATGTTATGTCAAAAGCAAATTTTATTTAAAAATCAGCTCTATTTAAATATATTTCAGAATAAAGAATATGAAATTACTTTGCAATCTGGTATAGAAAACCCTCAGCTTTTTTAAAAAAAAACGCCTTTCAATTTACAATCTTTTAAAGGTTATATTAGTGGCTTCAGAATGATACAGTAAATTCTTGTAATAAAGTCTACCCTTGTACAGTATATGTTTGCATTTTTTAAAATTAGCTATGAAAAAAATTGCAAGCTAATTATAATTGGTTTACATGTTATGCTTCACAGCAGTCTTAGAATAGTTTTTTCAGAAAGATAATTCTCATTAAAAACTTGCAAACTTTATAAAGATGCCCCTTCTCAACCCACAATTGTGCTGTTCTGTGCACTGCAAAATAAACATCAACAGCTAGTTAATTACCACTCATTTCAGAAGTGCTTTTCTTATTTAGGATTTTCAGAATATCTCGAGTAATCTTCTTCAATTGGTGCCTTGCCTCTTCACGTTCCTTTCCAACTCCGTAAAGAAGTATCATGCGCTGGTTATATTCATGGCTTGATGATTCATCCTTTTAATCAGAAAAGAAACAAAAGGCATTGAGAAATAAATAAAGTAAGAAAGTCTTATCACTTCTCTAATGAATTATTATAAGAGAGTACTTCTGCATGGCTTTTCCATGAAGAACTGACTGTTTGGGAATTATGGAAGTAGAGGTCCATCCGTGGTACTGGAAGAGCAAAGGCAGAACCCTCCCTAAATATTTAACTACTTGAAAATAGTTATTATATTGGATTTGACATTATTTCAGTAATGGAAATTCTGATCCACTAAATACTTTAACCAAAGGCATGGGAAAAACATAATTTTAAGCAAATTCCTTATTTTCCCTAGAACAGCAGTTCCCAACCTTTCTGGCTTTGCAGACTGGGAGTGGTGGCAGTAGGCAGGCAGTGGCAGTGGTGTGGGGCAGGGAGGGGATGGTTTTGCACTTGCAACCTAATTCCACGCATGTGCAAATGGACACTGACATGCCCATCCACCACTTGCATGGCCCAGTTGCCAGCAGGCCATGGACCAGTATTGGGGACCCCTGCCCTAGAACATTCCCAAAATCTGCAGGATGCTTTAACCAATGTAGAAGACCACAGTGGAAGAGGAAATCAACAGAAAATAGTCAGGGGAAAGGTACTAATCCAGCACCATCACTACTATATATACAAGTAAACCTTTATGTTCAGTTCATACATATTAAAAGCAATGTAGAGTATAATATAGCTAGACCAGGCAGTCTGGCACTGATGGTAGAACAGGAGTGGGGAAGACACAGGTTTTAGTCCTGCTTCAGCACATGAGCCAGCTGAGTTATTTTGGATTGCATAAGAAAGCAATGGAAGATCACTTCTGAAATCTTGCCAAGAAAACTGCATGGATCTGTCCATGAAGTCACCAGGAATCAGGACTGAATATGAGGAGAGGAGAGGAGAGGAGAGGAGAGGAGAGGAGAGGAGAGGAGAGGAGAGGAGAGGAGACCAGAGGTACAACTTCCTACAATCCCAACCAACATAATCAATGGTTGACCATGCACAAATGTTCTTCATTTCAATGAAAATTTAAAAATTCATCTTGATGGTGATAAAATATTAGCAGATCATAACTCTGGTCAACAGGGCTTTCTGAAAAACAACCAAAAATACTCACGATAATATAATTTAAAAGCTTTTTGGCAAGAATCATGCTGGGTAGCTCAACTACATTAATGAAATGAATGGCTTTCTGATTAGTAAAAGATAAGAGTACTTCTTTTCAGAATGGATTCAATACTGAATTCTTTGTGCATTTTTTATTATTGTGAAGCCTTGTTTTAAGGTATAATCTTTTGTGCAGTGTTTATGAGTTTGCACAAAAGATTACACCTTAAAACAAGGCTTCACAATAATAAAAAATGCACAAAGAATTCAGTATTGAATCCATTCTGAAAAGAAGTACTCTTATCTTTTACTAATCAGAAAGCCATTCATTTCATTAATGTAGTTGAGCTACCCAGCATGATTCTTGCCAAAAAGCTTTTAAATTATATTATCGTGAGTATTTTTGGTTGCTTTTCAGAAATATTGTTTAATTTGATTTTCATCAAAAGATTAGTGCCAGACTCTACTAGCTTATATGAGCACTCTTCTAGTTGAGTCCAAAGGAATAATGAGATTGGCTATAAAATATATTTTAATTTATTTTCTTAATCAGAAAACCTTCTGATTATGCAGGACAGCAAGTGTAAAAAAACTGAAACCTCCCTCTGGTTTCTAATTGATTATATTCCAGCTGTTTAAAGGAAAAAAGTAAGTCTTTACTTCCTCATGTGTGCTCTGACTCACTCAGTTTTATCACTTCTGTTTTGCAAGAAAGATCTCTGCTGATGGGATTTTCTATATAAGCCTTATTTTGGAGCAATCAGTCAAGGCAAAATAAAAAGAGAGAAAAACAGATCAGGAAACCTTTGTTTCCAGGAAAAATAATTTTCCAATGAAGGAAAATCCAGGTGCTTAAGGTAACTTCATATTTTTCATTGTAATTTTAGTATGCATTTCCTTTCTATTCAATAGACCATTCTTTATGATTTCCAGAAGCAAACAGTTCAATATGTACATTTTAATCTTTTAAAATACTCAGATTATTGATGTTTTGTTTTGTTTTGTTGTAATTGTGTAATGTTGAAAGTAAAATACTAGCTAACACAGACATTTCTGTTGTTCTGAAGTCCAACAACAATTGACTCTCTAACTTCTAAAAGTAAACACATTTTACTTCCATTAATTTTGGAAAAGATATATAAAATGCTGAGATTTCAAACATTTACTTAAGAAGCATCTTAAATATAAACATGTCTTAATTTTTGAAATAAATGGACAAAACAGCATTCACGTGTATTTGTATAAGCTCAGTTACACTTGCATTAATTAACTTTGCCTATCAAAGTAAAGATACATAAAACAGCTGGAATTTTTTTGACATGAACTGAGTAAAATGTGTTTTCTTCTGTTTGTTTTGGTTTTATGAGAGAGATACAGCATTAGGATTCCTATTAAAATGTCTCTGAGTTCACTGACATTGCAGTCATAATGTCTTTATTTTTTTACTATACTGACATTTCTTCAATTTGATTGTATTGTTCTTCCATTTGAGTATATTACTTTCTGAGCGAAAACATTATAACAATAAAACTGGCTGAAGTTTTTCATTTAGACTCTCAATTATGTGGGTTCTTGAAACAGGGTCCATTTTATATGCTTATCCTCTGGATTACAGAGCTGTAAACCTAAACTGCCAATTATTTATTTGCAAGATTATTTAATTTAATTTTGAATTTGTATGTTTGCAATTCCTAAACATGCAGATTATTTCCAGCAATGCCTTTCCAAAACTAATGCTTCCCATGTGGGTTGGATTTTCAATTCCTAGAATTCATAACCAGCATGGTCGAGTCCTGGCTGGCATTTCTGGCAGCTGCATTCCAGTTCATTTAGAATAGAATAGAGCTGGAAGGGACCTTGGAGGTCTTCTAGTCCAGCCTCCCGCTCAAGCAGGAGAATCTATACCATCTCAGACAAGTGACTGTCTAGTCTCTTCTTAAAAATCTCCAGTGATGAAGTGCCCACGATTTCTGGAGGCAAGCTGTTCCACTGGTTAATTGTCCTTACTGTCAGGAAGTTTCTCCTTAATTCCAGGTTGCTTCTCTCTTTGTTCAGTTTCCAACCATTGTTTCTTGTCCTGCCCTCTGGTGCTTTGGTGAATTCATGCAACCTCTTAGGCAGTGAGGTGTAATGGTGATGGTGATGGTTTAGAACTGGCTCAGGGTCAAGACCACCCTCAATCATAAAAACTTACTGAGTGACTTCTGGCCATTGCTCTCAGGCCAACCTCCTCACAGGCTTGTTAGTAGTGGTGAAAAACCAGGAGCAGGGAGAATTTCTTCATCTTAACCTCCTTCAATGAAGTCTGAAACATTGTTCTTCTCCCCAGGCCTTCGTTTCAGGACAGGTCTTTTGCTCACAAAGTGATCTGTTCATCACTTTGAAAAATCTTTCTATACCATAAGTTCTATATTAAAAAGCTATTCATGCTGTTACTTGTATATAGAGAGGGTTTAAAAATACTGGATTGAAGCATTAATTAAAATAGCTGACATTTATGACTAATGTGCTTGTTTTGCTTTGGTAGAAAGCAATTAAAGCTACGATGGGACTGGAATACAGCCCTCCTGAAAACAGCAGCAACTGCACCACTGACAGCAAGATGAATCAAGTTCTCTTTCCTTTGTTATACACTATTATCTTCTTTATTGGCATCATCATGAATGGCCTGGCCATGGGAGTTTTCTTCCAGATCTCCAGCAAATCAAATTTCATTGTCTTTCTTAAGAACATAGTGATTTCTGACATCCTAATGGTATTAACGTTTCCATTCAAAATTCTCAGTGATGCGAAACTGACTTCCTGGAAATTGAGAGGGTTTGTTTGCAAGGTGACTCAGGTCATATTTTACTTCACCATGTACATCAGCATTATTTTTTTTGGACTTATAACGTTTGATCGATATTTGAAGACTGTCAAACCTTTCAAATCATCAAGAACTAACAAAGTATCCGCAGCTAAGATATTGTCTATAATTATCTGGATTTTCATGTTTTCTATTTCCCTCCCAAACATGATTTTGACAGACAAGAAGCCAACATATGAGAATGTGAAGAAATGTGCTGACCTCAAATCTTCCTTAGGATTATTATGGCATGAAGTTGTTACATATATTTGCCAGTTTATCTTCTGGATTAATTTGGTTGTAATAGTTGTATGCTACATACTCATTAGCCAGGAATTGTACAACTCCTACAAAAGAACAAGACGTTTGGGAAAGGCAAACAAGAAGACTGTGAACATCAAGATTTTCATAATTATTGGTGTATTTTTTATCTGCTTTGTTCCTTTCCATTTTGCTAGAATTCCTTATACTTTGAGCCAAACTAGAGATGTTTTTCAGTGTTCAACCCAGAATATTTTGTTTTATATAAAAGAGACCACTTTGTGGTTGACTTCCTTGAATGCATGCTTAGACCCATTCATTTATTTTGCCCTCTGCAGATCATTTAGAAAGTCTCTTCTAAATATTTGGCATAAATGTGTAATGAAAACAAGAGAGGATCATAGTAGAGAAACTACAGATGAAGAGACACCAATGTAGATAAATAAGAAACCTAGCCAAATATAGTTTGTACCACTCTGATATAGAAGATATATTTTCTAAATTCTACATTCTTGGTTTTACAGAAAACAGGAATCACACATAGCCCATGATACTAACAACCAGCTCCAGAATTATCACTGCTGCATTTTCTTTTAATATCATAGCTACAAAGATTGTTTCATACTAAAAAAAAAATAACTGGACAGTAAAAAAAATTCTGCGTACTTAAAGAAAAAGGCTCCTTAGAGGAAGGCAGGGAGAACTAAGTATACAAAAAACAAAAGACTATTAAGAAATTCAGTTATACTGATAAGTAGACATCACTCAGAAATCCTACACACATACAAAGAAAAAAGTGTTGCAAAATCTTCAATCCAGAAACTGCTATTAGTAATTTTACATAATTTTAAGGTCTAGTTCCCAGACACTCTAATAATCAACATCCTCAATTCCCTTTCACTTCAGAAAGGCAAACTATTTATGCATCAATAAATTAATAATTATATTTGTAACTGAATTTTCTCAAGGAACCTTGGGCCCTTTGTTTCTGGATTAATTAGAAGTCTTTCTTCCTTGGATTACTTATGTAAACTAACCAAGCAGTTTTTAATATATAACTTGGTAGTTTATTTAGTTAGTAAAACTAAATAACACTGGCAATTATTTATTATAAATCATTTTCCCCAAAATTGTGGAAAAGAGGCACTTAGTTGCTTTATAACATTCTACCACAACACAGAATAACACTGTGTTCTTACTTTATAAGGCCATTTTATTATTTTTGCTTTAGAATAAGATCTTATTTGCTGCATATTAGTGTCTGATTATGAACTGTACCATCAAATTGATAGTGTTTAGTGACCATATATTTTTCAAGATTACATATTAATAAACATCTTATAATTCACTGTTTGAGTGCCTTAAAAATAATTTAAGAAATACAATAATAATGTCATATACAATTTATTTTTATTAAATGATGTAATATTTTGATGGTTCCAAAAAAACCCCCTACATAACAGAAAATACGCCTTTGAAATAAAAAAAAATCTCTGCTTAGTAAGCCTTTTTTCTAAATTGCTTTCTTAAGACAAATAAATGCTTTTATGTTCTTCAATTTCATTTTTTAAATATATAAATTATAATTCTGGTATGGGTGTCATGTAACACAATATAAAACTGAATTTTACTGATATGAAAATGATAATCAATTGCTAACTAATTACTGAAAAAACATCTTGCTACTGTGAAATAGCAAATTATAAGTAGGACAATCATGGCAAACTACAATTGCAAAAGTCACAAACACCAAATCTCAAGTCACAATATGAAGGTGATTTAGATACCTTGCACAATATGTTTGCATGAAATTTTGCATGAATTTCATCAAATTCACAAATTACTGGGGAACAGTTGTGACCATTTTTTGCTTGAAGAAATTGCTGTGTAAGATAATGGTAGAGGAATTAAGGAATTAAATAAATGGGAAATGAAAGCAGTTCTAGATTGTGGTTTGTGGTTTTTTTTGGAAAAAAAACCCTCCAAAAGGACAAAAAAAGCAGAACCTATTAAAAAAAGAGACCAAACCTAATCACAACATGACAGATCTCAAAGTCTGAAGCTAGATGTCAGCTAATCAGTCCTTCTGGTGAGCCTGTTCCATCTCAAAAATTCTAACTCTGGTTGCCATCAATCTGATTTGAATAGAAATATTGATATAAACAAACATCTGGACAAGTTCATTTAGGGTGAAACATTACAACTACACAGTAGTTGTGTAGCCTGAATAACATGCATTATAATATCTGTTGCTTGATCTGTAAGTACCCTAACACCTATTTCATTGTGTTCCATGAATAATATGCAAAAGAAACATCATTTCACTTTTATCAAAAGAAATTGAAATGCAAAATCCTTTGCAAAAGTTTCACTTAAAGAAAACAATTGGAGAATTAGGCTACATTTAATATCCCCCCTTTTAGTAATTTTTTCAAAAGTCCTAATAAACACAACTTAGTCATTCACTAAAATCATGCCAGACTTTTGCATCACCTCAATGCACAATGGTGTTGTTTAGTTTAAATTTTGTTTTATTGTTTTTAATCGGATGGCTGTTGTCTTTACTAGCTGCTTTAATTTGGCCACACTTTCATCTGCTCCACAGTGACTTACAAATTTAAAAATCTCATAAAAATACTGTAGTATTTTTGGTACTCAACTGCTTTGAAACTCATTAAATTTGTTACTCAACGGATTTGGGTGCAAAATTGTTGTCCCAATACTCATCATTTGTTTGGTATTCAGTACACAAGCTAAAACTTCTCAGTGTCAGTTGCCTTGCAACTCACTACATTAGTCCTTATGGGAAAAATCTGTTTGGTACCCATCATTTTTGGTACTCATCGCATCTCCCAGAACCAATTAATGTACAGTAAAATACAATTTTTGGAAAGCAGTTAGGAAACCAGGATAACATGAACAATACTCTAAAAACACATACAATGGATGGTATTGGGGGGAAATTATGTTGCTTTGAGTACAATTCTTTTGAGAAATTTGAAAACAAGGTGATACAATTGAAAATGTACTTCTGCCATCACTACTTCTCTTTCTTTATGTAGTGCTGAGACACAGAATAGGATTTTCACTTTCTGGAACTGGTCGGTGTGCCACCAACACTTCCACTTATTTCCGTTAACATTTTTATGTGACCTAGAAAGCAAAAATTGGTCACTGTCATTTTGTAAATAACATCGGTAGGAGGTATTTTGATGGAAGAATTTGTTATCTTCTGTCATGCAAAATTAGAATCTTTGTACAGAATTTTAAAAAAAATAAAGGCAAGCAGAAAAGAATTCAAAGAAAATTGAGTCTCTCTGGAGACATTAGCCATTACAACTGTATAGAACAGAAACTGTCATTGAACAGTCCACTGTTCTAAAGACCTTACATTATTTAGAATCCCCAAAACTACCAATTAAAAACAATCAGTGAAAAGAACACACACACATATACATACATCCGATATTGTACTGCCATTTTTTCCTATTCCTGTATTTCCTGCCCATGATATCAGTTTTTCCCAGCATTCTTTTCTTGGTTGTTAGATTTAGCCAAACTCAGTTCCATGTTTCAATTTTTTTTCTATACACAGAAAAAGCTTCATATTGAGTAAGATACCTCCAAATATTTGTATGTGAATATTTTTCTTGAGATTTGTAGCATTTTATCCAGATTAGGGGAAGTGGGGAGGATGGAGACAGAGAAGACAGGCTTGTGAAAAATGAGGAACAAGCTTACAACAAAACTGCTTACGAAATTAAGTTTTTCTGTTGTTAGTACATTAGTACATTAGTATATTTCCAAGTCTAACATCAATCCAGTATTTCTTCACAGAGAGGTAAGCATTTTTATTCTTGCCTTATGGATCATTAACATAAGTATTATTATTATCAAGCTACAGAGATAAATCCTTGAGGTCATAATTTTTTTTCAAAAAGTTTTAAAATGTATTATTTCCATATGAAATATTTCAAGGAAAGGCATTTCTTATAATTTAGACAAAATCAATATTGGTTGGCTAAATCATATTTTCTATTTATTCTTATTGCACTTCTTCAGGAAACTGTGAGGAATTTATACTGTTCTCTGTTCACTTATGGTTACAACAGTACCATTGGACAGGTTAAGAAGAGAAGACATGGAAGAAAATAAAAGAATGTGACAATTTTAAGGCCACCCAAGTTATCAATAGCTGTGCTCCAAAGAAGCCATCTGGTCTGAAGCACAGAGAAAAATCTTTGTCTTTTTACAAAAAGAGGAAGTTTCTTAAAGTACAGCTTATGTCATACTTGGAACTCAGTAAAAATTCAAAAGCCAGTAATAAAATACAATACTGAGCTATCTAAGCTGACCAATTTAATTATCTAATTTACTGTTTGAAGTAGGACTATGATACAAACCCAACTAAGCCAAGGACATCAATCCCACTGACTTTCCCAAGAAAAATGCTGCTGTTTATAAAAGTCTATATAGCCAGATGTGAAAGAGAAATTACATTCACCCATTTAATAAGTTAAACCATTTTTTACTCATATATAACATTTAACATGAACTAATTATAAAGGCTGGGTTCCCATAACACATTAATGCATAGGAAAACTAACCCATTTTTTTTTTTAAACAACTGTATCATATCATACACATAATACTGTACATGAATGCAGCATAGTGTTCTTCAGTTTAGAGAAAAGGCACAGATCTGCTGTCTGCTTCAGATGGATTGCTTTGCCAGCAATCTTGAACCTTCTCAGTGTATAATTTACAAATGTGTACAACAAAATATCAAAAATCACTTATAAACAAGGAAAGATTGCATTCGGAAATGCAATGGAATTATTTTATTGCTTTTGTTTTGCTTAGTTTTCCATTGACTCCACCTGAACTTCTAAGTGTATGTTTATCGTAAAGATTTATATTTATATCACAAATGCACATCTGTAATTTTGTGGGGGACTATGGGGGACTATGGGTTAAGAAATATGGCAAGCACATTTTTCTCCTTCCCATTTGGCATTTGTGTAACATTAGCAGCTGTCCAAATATATGCGTGCAGTTTCCATCCTGTCTTTTGTTAAAGTGAATTCATTAAGTCGGATTACCACAATTTCCACCAAAACCTTTGGCTTTTTAACTTCCTTTTCCAGGAAACAAAAACAGCCAAACAGAATGTGCAGCCAGTTCATTTCTTCAGCCAAACTGATGGTTCTGAGCTTTAAGTAGTTTTCCAGCTCGGAGGTCTACCTACAGTGATTGGAAGAATGTCTCTTTCCACAAGTACTTAACCTAAACTCCAGGATTTTCTTGTGCACCTTTTTTTTCAAGGTCTCTGCCAAATGAAATCCAGCAAATAACCATAAGTGAAAGGGCCTTTTCAGCATTACTTTTATGGTTTTTTTGAACTGGTAAGTATTTTATATATATATATATATACATATATCTTAAATAATCTATTTTCTATTCCTGGACTTAATATATATGATAGTCTATAAGTAATATTAGTCAAAGAAATAATGTAACTGCTTTGCTTTCTATGTTTCTAGAATATCCAGAAGATTCAGAAGAAAAAACTCAGAACATTTTTCCATATGAATCAATTCACCCACCCTTTTATTTTGCACTAAAGTGTAGAACCAGGTTCACATAATTCTTAACTACATAGAAAACTAAACCTCTTTTTTTGCTAAGGGATGTCCCAAATGATGTCATATATGCTATCAAAATGTATGTCGTAGTATTGCTCCAGGAATCCAAAATGGTTCTATTTCACTGTAAAGCCTAGATGCTTTCTGATCTTCTTGCTTTTATCCTTTTTAAAAAAAAAAAAAAAAAAAAGCAAAATCTTTACACATACTTACTTTCTATAATTATTATTATTTCTCCAGCTTCCTGATTAAACCATGAATGGAAGTATCAACGCTTCCAACTGGACATCCTTCTCTGGGGAATGCTATCGAGATACGAGGACATCTCATGTTGTATTTCCAATTTTGTACAGCATTCTTTTCCTTGTGGGATTTTTACTGAATAGCATGGCTGTAATTGCTTTTTTCCAGATTCCAACCACTTCAAGTTTCATTGTGTATCTTAAGAACACCGTAGTCTCCGACTCCATCATGACTCTCATGCTGCCTTTCAAGATTCTAACAGACTCAGAACTAGGATTTTGGCAACTTAAAGCATTTGTTTGTCGTTTTTCAGCTGTAATATTTTACCAGACCATGTATATAAGTATTGTGCTGCTTGGACTTATTTCCTTAGATAGGTTTCTCAAGATCATTCAGCCCTTTGGGAAGTTCTGGTTGCACAAGATCACTTCAGCTAAAATGGTCTCATGGTTTGTCTGGCTCTTCTTTTTTGTCCTCTCCCTGCCCAATGTGATTTTGACAGACCGCGCGGCTACATCTCTCCCAGTGAGGAAGTGTAGTTTATTGAAAAGTGACTTGGGACTGAAATGGCATGAAGCTGTCAATTACATCTGTCAAATCGTCTTCTATACTGTGCTGTTTTTGATGTTTCTATTTTATGTAATTATTGCTAAAAAGATTTATAGCTCTTATAAAAGAACAAAGATACCAGAGTGTAAAATTAAACAAAAAGCCAAAAGTAAGGTATTTATAATTGTAGCTGTTTTTTTCATCTGTTTTGCCCCTTTTCATTTTGTTCGGGTACCTTATACTATTAGCCAAAGTGGCCGAAGAATGGGTTGTGTTAAACAGAATCAGTTATTCATAGCCAAAGAAAGCACTCTCTGGTTAGCTACTGCAAATATATGTATGGATCCCTTGATATATGTATTCTTATGCCGGAAATTTATAGAAAAAGCATTTTGTTTTAAATTACAAAAATCCAGGTGTATAATTCAAGAAAGTCCAACCCTGGCACTGGATACTGGAATATCTACATAGATGTTCAATTTTCAGTAAGTAAGTGTTGGAAACTATTTTTGAATGCTAATTGCAGGCTATTAATAGAAAAAGATTAAATAACATTCCTATATGATTAGCTAATATGTCATTGTATCTCAATTCCTGAGTTATTATTTTCTGATGTGGGAAAATAGAACTATGCTTGTTATTTGAAGGTGCTTCAGAGGCAAGACCACAGTGCTGTTATCATAGTCCTTTTTTTTAGAAAGTTTTTTTTTCTTAAAATGAAAATAGACTACCTGTGTTTAGTGCCATACTTCGCTCCACAACAGAATATAGATCTGCACTCCAAGGCTTTGGATTTAGACTGTGTACTTTCTTTGACCATTTTGGTTACTATCAATTCATTCCTATTAAATAGTAATTTGACTGGGATTTTTTTAATAATCATTTTGGTTGTAGATAAATATTTCAGTATTCTCCCAAGCATTTAAAAAATAATTGTCCTAGTATTCTGTATTAGTATATATTGCAAACGTCTTGTGATATATTATGTAAACCACCTAGAGAACGGTGTTTCTGAGTGAACTAAATAAATGTTGGAAATATATATATATTCTGATTCTTCTCAATTCTATTTTGGGAAACAGTCTTTATGGGTTTCTACTATTGCCCAAGATGTGCCTGGTTGGTAATACTTCATTTCCAAAATGGTTATGATTTTAATCTTTAACATTGCAGTGAACTTGATCCAGATTACATAAAAGGTTATCTTTACATATACCACTAAGTCCCCATGTTATTTTTCTCAAGAGAAGTCCTTTTTACTTGCTACAAGCATTCCTGGCCCTTAAGATTATGCATACAATATGAGGACTTTTTTCAATAATCACCTCCAATTTGGGATGAGTTTCCACTGGATCTTTGTAAAGCTGTTTTCTCCCTTCCTTGAAGAAAACATTTATTATTATTATTATTATTATTATTATTATTATTATTATTATTATTATTATTATTATTATTATTATTATTATTATTACTACTACTACTACTACTACTACTACTACTACTACTACTACTATTATAGGTCATCTAATCCAACCCCCTGCTCAGGTAGGAAAAACTACACCATTTCGGACAAATGGCTGTCCAGTCTCTTCTTAAAAACTTCCAGTGTTGGAGCATTCACAACTTCTGGAGTCAGGTTGTTCCACTGATTAATTGTTCTAACTGTCAGGAAATTTCTCCTTAGTTCTAGGTTGCTTCTCTCTTTGATTGGTTTCCATCTGTTGCTTCTTGTCTTGCCTTCATGTGCTTTGAAGAATAGCTTGACTCTCTCTTCTTTGTGGCAACCCCTGAGATATTGGAACACTGCTACCCTCCCTTCTCTTCATTAAACTAGACATACCCAATTCCAGCAACCATTCCTGGCTTTCCTTGAACTGTATTTTTGGGAGGTTGCTTTTAGTTGTCATCATTCCCCTTTTTAATTTTATTTTTACTGATTTTATCTGTTTTATTATACTTTTTAATACTATGTACATAGCTTTGAAGTGGTTCAAGCTTTAGATGAAGCCTAAAGAAATTTCTAGAAACCTGTAATTACAAACTGATACAAATCCATTTCTTATTTCCATAAAGATTAGTGAGAGAAAGGCTAATAATTATCATCATAATATACATTTTTAATCAGAGTGATCAGATAGCTAACAAGTTATTATTGGGGGTTTTTTATTCTAAATAAATCTGCTTTAAACAATATAAAATAAATAATTTTGACATATATAAGTGTTATGTCTATCCTACATATTAAATTTAGAGGATAATCCAATGTGAGTTTTCTCAAAAATAATCTTCTGTTTAATAGAAATTACAATATATTCAAATAAGCAAAAACATAGACCTATAAAATCATACAAAGGCAATGTCATGCTACTCTAGAAATTCTTAGTAATGTCTACAGTAGGTGGTAATTTTAGGGTTTAATGTAACATAACATCTATTTTACTGAAAGGCACAACAACACAACACAAGGCAGTGTGGAATCTGTATTACAAATAGTCCTCAATTTAGAACCATAATTGAGCTTGGAATTATGGTTATAAGTCATTGCGGCACCAAGTGACAAACTTCAAAGTTACAACTGTATTTTTAATTATAGTCATTAAGTGAAATGCTGCAGTCATTAAGTGAATCCATTTTCTCTAATGCATTTTTTGCTGGAAACTAGAAAGAGCCTGATGCTGGGAAAGATTGAGGGCAATAGAAGAAGGGGACGGCAGAGAATGAGGTGGCTGGATGGAGTCACTGAAGCACTGATGGACTCCAGAAGATGGTAGAAGACAGGAAGGCCTGGAGGAACATTGTCCATGGGGTCGCGATGGGTCAGACATGGCTTCGCAACTAACAACAGCAACAACAACAAGAAATACATGCTAGAAATCAGCCAAAAATGTTGCAAATTGTGGCCAAGTGACTGCAGAATGTTGCAAAAGGTTATAAAGTGAGCTAGGTGCCAAACACCTAGAATATAATCATAGAGGGTGCGGCTGTTGCAAGTCCAAAAATGGTTTGTAAGTAGCTCTGGGAAGGCCCATTGTAGCTTAGAACAATTGTTCTGGTTGTTTTTACTGGAAGATGAAAAGACTTAAATGGGGGACCAGATTAAAAGGACAGCAGATATAACAGAATAACAGAACTGAACCTTGGAGATCTTCTAGACCAACTCCCTGCTCAAGCAGGACACCCTATACCATTTCAGACAAATGGCTATCCAATCTCTTCTTTAAAAACTCCAATGGTGGAGCTCCCACAACTTTTGAAGACAAGCCATTCCAGAGATTGTTCTGTTAGGAAATATTTCCTTATCTCTAGGTTGGCTCTCTCCTTGCTTAGTTTCCCTCCATTTGTCCTGCCTTCAGTGCTTTGGAGAATAGGTTGCCTCTTCTTCGTGGCAGCCCCTCAAATATTGGAACACTGCTAGCATGTCATCCCTAGTCCTTTTTTTCATTTGACAAGACATACCCAATTCCTGCAGCCATTCTTCATATGTTTTAATCTCCAGTCCCCTAATCATCTTTGTTATTCTTCTCTGCACTTTTTCTAGAGCAGAGTTCCCCATTCTTTCCAGCTCTGTGGAACGGTGGGGGGCGGAGGTGATGGTTCCATGCTAAGTGGGCTGTGAGCCATGAATTGGGGACCCCTGTTCTAGAAACTCAACATCTTTTTTATATTATGGCAACCAAAACGGGATGCAATATTCCAACTATGGTCTTACTGAGGCATAACATTAGAATGCTAACTTTTGATATCTCCAAACTAAATCCATAAACATCAGAAGATGGTAAACATCTGTTCACAAATGTTAATAGCCTTTTATGTTTCTCTCAGTATGAGATTTGCATATTCAACCTTCAGAAATACGTCTATAATACATAACTGAATTATACTCTATGTCTGTTGCAGGCCAACTTATATTTAAGCACTTTGTATTGTACTATGCATTTTGAAAGAAGTCATCGGGAAAAATCAAATATATATTTCCAGATTTTCTCCAATTATTTCTAGACCTTCAAAGCTATTGGTAGACCATGGAGAACTTTGCAGTACATTTAAAATACAGAACAATATGTTTTATAATTATATAATAATATTTATGTAACATATATTTTATAAAACAAGCTATTTTTTCTAATTTTCTAATTAGGAATGTAATTTTCTAATACATTTGTTTTTCTTATTTGCCTTCTTCATTTTGCACTGCATTTGATACTTTCAATGAATTGTGTAACTTAATATGTACATCTAATCTTTTCAGATCAAAACATACATGCTCCTATTTGGTGAGTTCTGTTTAGTAATATACTTGGCATAATATTAAACAAGTGTTATCTTGCACATTAAGCTAAAATCTATGGTCATGTTCTGCAAACATAAGCAGCTGCAGTTTAGAATTAGGACTCCTTTATCAGAGATCCTAATGAGTGAAAATTAAGGACAATCAGTCTCATTAGTTTGACAGACAATCTTTCAAAACCATTGTTCCAGGAAAAAAAGCAAAATCTTCTTAGAAGTTACCTTCTACCATTGCAATATTTCATGCTTATAAGAGATAATACTTTCGTTTTATTGAACTTGAAATATGAACTTGAGCAATGAAATGACAATTATTATTATTATTATTATTATTATTATTATTATTATTATTATTATTATTATTATTATTATTATTATTATTATTATTATTATTATTATGCTTATTTAAAGAACATCATACTGTTTAGAAAAGATTTAAAGCCATGTAATCTTTTCAATTTTTTATATGCCAATCTATGCCTGAAAAATTACCTAAGATAATGAAAATGAAAAAAGGATATATATAGAAAGGAGAAAAAAACAAGGAAGAATAGTTAACCACGGTTGGAAAGAAGATACTAAGAAAGCTAAAATTCAAAATAAATTGATATTAGGGAAACAACCTATAAAAACATTTTATAAGTAAAACTTTTAGGCATTGCCTAAAAAATAATTAATACCATGATCAATTTATAGGAAGTTTGATTCAGACAAAAGGGAGACATTGCACTTTGATTATTTCAAAGATCAAATTAATGTAAATTTAAACTTACTATTAAAAATAATCTATTATTTATATCTGTAATTCTATATTTTATGTCTGCGAAAACAGGTGGTAATAAGCATAAATCAGTCTTGAAAACAATGGAGTAAATTATTGTTGTTAGGTCCTAGACCTAGTGCTTTTCAATACAGTTTATTAATAATTTGATTGAAGTGGAGAAAATGCTTATGAGCACTGCAGCTGACTCAGCTGGAATTAACTAGTGAATAGATTAAAAGAAATAAAATTTCAAGCAATCTGGATAAATTAGAGAAATGGATTTAAAAATAACAGTGCAATTTAACAGAGGCATATGGAGCCATCACTAAGAAAACACACACAAAAAGCACAGATATAGGAGATACATAATTTGGTAACTACATTTGTGATAATATCTTTCAAAAGTAACTAATTGTAACTAAATTTTCTGCATCTTAAATTTTTCTCAATCTCTCTCCTTTTTACGGAAACAAAAAACAAAAAAGGAGAAAATGTTCACATATCAGCTTAAGGTAACTAAAACAGCTTTTCAGAATGGCAATCATACTGTATTTACATCAAACAGCTTCACAGATAAAAGGAGGTATAATCTTAATTCATTATCAGAAATATTATTTCATATTTATGAATTCAAAATCAGTTTAGTACTAAAAGCCAAAACAGATTGTGCTGCTAGCTGTGCTTTTTCATTTCTTTCATTCTTTTCAAGAAATCTGAGAATTCTGAGGCATTTCTTATAAAATGAAAAAAAAAATGAAATTCTGATGCTAGGATGAAGGATGTAAATTCAAAAATGATCAGGAAAAACATCTCTTTTGCTCTATGTCAATCTCAAATCCTGCAAAAGGCTTCCTTCCTTTTTAAAAGCAGTACTATCTTTGGTTTGTTGTGAAGAGAAAAAAATCATCTGTTGCCTCCAGAGCTTTGGCAAGAAGGGGTGAGGCTCTTTATTCTCTTTAATTCTTGTTCCTTTCACCAAGTTC